CTCATGACTGGAGCATAGGGAGACTACTGATGTCATAGACAGGAGTGTCAATTGGTAAAGTCAACAACAGGAGTCACTGTGCACTTACTCCTCATGTAGGATCTCTGTCCTTAATGTGCTGTGCATTGAGATTTAATGCTATAAGGAGTACTCAAACAGTATATTTCACTTTGTGTTTCTATGGGGGTGCAAACTGTTGAAATCTTTACTTAATGCATACTAAACTGATCTTCTGTAAAAAAAAAAAAAGAAATTATCAATTCCCAACTTGACTCTCACTGGGATTAAACATGACAATAGGTCTGATCTGATTTCATCATCATTTAAAAAAAATTATCTATTATTTTTCACTTTATGTTTCTGTGTGGGAGCAAACTGTTGAAATCCTTACTTAATGTATACTAAGCTGATCTTCTGTATATTAAGATAATCGAAAATGAATCTTGATGTGAATGGAAGGGGAGAGGGAGTGGGAAAGGGGAGGGTTGTGGGTGGGAGGGACAGTATGGGGGGGAAGCCATTGTAATCCATAAGTCGTACTTTGGAAATTTATATTCATTAAATAAAAGTTAAAAAAAAAAGAAAAAAATGTACTCATTAAATAAAAGTTTTTTGGGAAAAAATAAAAATAAATAAATTTAAAAAAATAGTCAACTCACAGATTCAAATAGCTATATCCAATCTAAGTATGTAAAATTATAAACAAAACCATTCCTAGGTACATTATAGTAAAACCACTAACAAGCGAAGAAAAAAATTTTAAAAAGAGTTCAAAAAAGTCAACAAACACTTGACTCCCACATGTATTAGCATACTGAAATGATTATACATAGTGATTAATTGGGATCTATTCTGGAAGGCAAGGATAGTTCCACAGCCAAAATCAAACAATGTAATATACCATATTAATAAAATGAAGAAAAATTCCCATATGATCATCTCAATTGAAGTAGAACAAGCACTCAAAAAAATACCCTTTAGTGATAGAAACTTACTCAACACAACTGTGATACTATCATGTTTCATATTTTACAGGGTTTGTTTGCAAACTTTTTTGTTTACTGTTCCTTCTTGCTTCTCAATCCTTCTTTTGCATTTGTCTCTGCATGCAATTTGTCCATGGGGATTCCTTTAGTGAGGTCCACTGATGTCAAACTGCCATTTCTGTGGCTGCACTCACTGAAGGGCAGAAAGAGTTCAGCAGCAGGGGAGACTTAGAGGAGATACAAGAGATGAAGGGAAATGCAACTTGCTTAAGTAGTATTTGTCATGTAATGCATGGTAAGTTTAATGTTAACGTTGTCATGTTAAGTGGAGGTCTGTTTTCCAATTCTGATTCTTCACTGCCTTGTTGTATATTAAACTTTACTCCATTAAAGAAATTATGGGATATGTACTCTATGGAATTCTAAACAGCAATTTAAAAAATAAAATATGGTCATTTGCAACAAAATGGATGAATCTGGAAAACATCATACTTAGTGAAATAAGTCAGTCCCAAAGGGACAAATACCAGAGGTTCTCCCTAATCTATGATAACTAACAGAGCACCTCAAAGGAAACCTGTAGAAGTGAAATTGACACTTTGAGAAGCAATGACTTGAATAGCCCTTGTCTTGACTGTTGAGGAACAGTTTATTATTTTTATTTTTTTACTTAATACCATTGGTTGAAATCTTCACCTAACATAGAATTAATAAGTGTACAAAGTCAATTGAAAATAGACCCCAGTAAAAAATTAGAGTGGGAATATGAGAGGGAGGAGGTGTACAGTTATGCACACATTCTCATGGACTTACCCCAAGGGTAAAGCTAAAAACTTGCCATGGGACTTCAAATCCCATTAAGCCTGGTGGTAATAATACCATCTTACTTGTTAAAGTGATCATATTAAGTGTTTAATTGATCATATAGATAGGACTAAGTGTCAAAGGGATTATATAAATAACACCAAGTGTCTGGTAATAATAATAGATAGAATTAAAAGGAGGCTGGTGCCATGGCTCACTGGGCTGATCCTCCGCCTGCGGCGCTGGCACCCTGGGTTCTAGTCTTGGTTGGGGCACCAGGTTCTGTCTCAGTTGCTCCTCACCTAGTCCAGCTCTCTGCCGTGGCCTGGGAAGGCAGTGGAGGATGGCCCAAGTGCTTGGGCCTCTGCACCCGCATGGGAGACCAGGAGGAGGCACCTGGCTCCTGGCTTTGGATCAGTGTGGCGCACCGGCCATGGTGGCCATTTGGGGAGTGAACCAATGGAGGAAGGACCTTTCTCTCTGTCTCTAACTCTGCCTGTCAAAGATAATAAAAAACGAGATTAAAAGGAGAGATGTCAAATGGGAGCAGTCCGGGAAGCAGGAAGCAGTCCACACAGCAGACTCATAGAATGACAAATGCCCTAAACAGCACTCTGACCTCAGAATCAGCCCTTAAGGCACTCTGGACTGGCTGATAAGTCCATGAAAGTATTTCACGCATGGAAATCTAAGACACAGCAGCAAAAAAAAAAAAAAAAAAAAAAGAGTCCTACATGAAGGATCTGTGAGAGAGACCCCAGTGGAAAGAAGGTGCCATCAAACAAGGATGTACTTTTCTCTGAAGGAAGGGAACTTTCATTTTGCTTATGGCCCTTCCTAAATACTGATGGAGTTTGTGGACTCAAAAGGATTCCACAGCCTCGGCAGCTCACGGCAAGAGCCTTGGATGGTCACTGCGGTCATAAACGGGAGTGTTAATTGTTAAACTAACAACAGAATTCACTGTACACCTACCCCCCAAGTAGGACCTCTGTCCTTAATGAGTTGTACTATGAGAATTAACTGCAAAACTTGTTCTCAAACAGTACTTTATATGTGGTGTGTGTGTGTGGGTGCAAATTGTTCAAATCTTTACTTAATATAGAGTTGGTCTTCTGTATATAATTAAAAACGAATCTTAATGAGGAATGGGATGGGATAGGGAGTAGGAGGTGGGATGGGAGTTGGGAGGCAGGGCAGGAATGGGGGGAAGAACCACTATATTCCTAAAATTGTACCTATGAAATCTGTATTCATTAAATAAAAGCTTTACAAAAATAAATAAATAAACTTTACTCCATTTGCCAAAAAGTGTATACAATATAAGTGTCCCTCAATCAATTAGAACTCAACTTTATAAAAGGTCAACTCTGGGTCAAGAAAAAATACTGACAATTCTCTGAGCTGTTTCCAGTTTTTTGTTATTATGAATAAAGCTGCTATGAGCATTTATCTGCAAGTCCTTTTATCAGCAAGTATTTTTATTTATGTATGTCACGTAAACATCTTAAGAGCAGGATTTCTTGGTCACAGGGTAGGTGTATGTTTAGTTTAAAACTTCTACTAGAGAGGAATCAATAAAGATGAGCGAGAGTGTGTTTAAGTGAAAACAGGCTCGCTAAAATGAAAAGATTCTCCTTTTTAGGATTGCATCTTTTTTTTTTTTTGGTGAAAGACAGCACATTTATTTAAATACCTTAGAAACCTTTTATTGTGATTTTATTCCTCAAACCGAAACCTCATCTAAATCAAGGAGAATATCTTAACTGACATGATGTTAGAGTGATACTCTTGTAACCTACTTGCTCGACTGGATACACATTGTCATTTTGTGACATTACACACAGTATTTCTTATAACTGAGTCCTGCATTTTTTGACATATAGTTTGGGTGGCACAGAAAGTTGGCATAAAAAAAAAAACCCTGAAATTACATTAGTACAATCACAGTATACATTCAAAATCCCCTTTAAAAAAGAAGATCAAAATCATATTATTTTTTTCTTTTCTGAAGGAGAAATTTCTTTAATGACCATCTTAGAAATACTCCAGTATTTTATCCATCTTCTCAGATTTCCAAGACACGTACTTGTAACATAAGTAGCCTTTGATGTAGTATTTCCAAAGTGACCCTTTTCCTGTTAACTATATTAGTAGATGACTCATTAAAAAGCTATGCAAAGTTAGATGCACTGGAAACAGATGCTGCTAAGCCAAGTATGTGGTCTTCAAAAAGTTCATGGAAGTCCAATCATTTGGACTAGTGCTTCCTGTCACTGATTAGCACACCTGTATCCCACTTTGAAGTAACTGGAGTCATTTCCTGATTTTGGCTCTTGATTCCAGCTTTCTGCTACTGTAGACTATGAGAGGCAACACTGATGGCTCAAGTAGTTAGGTTCCTGTCCCTACATGACTAAGTTCCTCTCTTTAGCTCCCACAGTCATTGCAGGCATCTGGGAAATTAACCAGCAATGGGAACTCTTTCTCTTTCTCTCTCTCTCTAAAAAAAAAAAAAAAGCCAATGGATTTAAAAAATTGTACTAGAATAAACTTATGTTTTAATCCTGTTTTCCATGAACTTTTACAATTGTACTCACAGTAAGCCATTCCATGAAAAGATGATGCCTACAGCCCATACGTATTAAACAAGCACCTAGGCATACAGAGCATCTCTGGGCTTAGGCCAGCAAACCACAGAGCTAAGATGTAGTCACGCTAACCTTTTAATGAGGTGCTATTTGTACCTGTTTGTACCTGTTTTAGTAGGTTTCAATCCTTGATTAGAACGGGGAGAACAAAAAGATTTGGCTCACTAGCCTAACCATTCTGCATGTGGAAAACTGAAGCAAGATTTTGTATGTTGAGAAAACAGAAGACGACTGACTTAAACAGGAGTTTTAGAAATTCATAAGGGGGACACAGAACTATTAGCTGAAATAGACACAGTGGTAACTTTATAGTTATAGCACTGATTATCAGAAAAAGGGAAGAGTCTGAAGAAAGCTTTTTAAAGATTGAAAGGAAATTGTAACACAGACTTAGAAGCCAGAAGTCTCCATGTTCTAGTCAAACATTCTCCTGGATATTTATAAAAATTTTTTACTCAAGAGTCAAATCAGCACATTCTTGCCACTGAGAATTCAGGACAGAGAGTCTAGAATTTTAAATACATTCTTATATTAACATTTGACACTTGGAAGACATAAATCTTTTAATTAAAAAATTTATTTCTCTGTAAATACAAATTCCAACATCAACAAACAATAGTCCAGTGGAAAAATACTAGCCGTTAACAGTGAAAACTTTTTTCTTAATTTAATAAATAGAACTTTGGCATTCAAAATTCTAGCTGTAAACGCTATTAAAAACCAAGAACAAAAACAACCCCTTTATAAAAAAAAGAGGCAAGAATGATAGATCCAAAGGCATGAGCCAACCAGTGGCTTCACATTCTTTTTTACAATAACTGTATTTCAGTTAAGTCATGAACACTGTATTTACACGAGGTATTCTGAGTGGTTCAATAACTGAACCTAGTTTACAATACCACCAGTCACAGGGACTGATTAAACACTCTGCTGTGCTTTTAATATAATCACCTAGCACCTTACTACTTCTTGTCATCACACCAATGTGATGCTGAATTTTGTCTCTATACTTAAATAACTACTCATAAATGTACATACACAAACACACAAATGAATACATTCTAAAGAAGTTTTTCACTCACTATACAGGGAAGGGTGGGCTCCAAAGACACAGCTGATAACTCCTCTGATGTTTACTAGGGTGCCCATTTAGTAATGAAAAACTGCTCCTTGCTTCAAAAAAAAAAAGTCCTTAATTAAGTCTATTTGCAGAAGAACAAGATGCAATAATCATCAACATTCTAATAGCCATGTAAAACAGAAATGAATGCTTACTGCAGGCAAAAAGGCACAAAAGGTTCTTGCTGTATGCAGGTCCAAAAGTGTTGTTACTAACTTAATGATTTGAAACAATATTCTTATTATATTCAATATTTCTTATAAGCAAGAAAAATCCAAAATCTTCCCCCTTCATGATTAAATGTATGATATAATCACACAGCAATATACCACTCATGGCATTCTGGGGTAAGGATGGAAATTTACATCTTCATACCAAATGGGAAATTTCTTTTGCTTTGTGAATACTGAAAAGAACTGCCAACAATGGAAACAAATTAATTTTGGATCTGAGAGCCTCAGCTAATGGCAGTTTCATGGAGTCTGAATGAGCATGGTTATGAGAACTGTTTACTATTGTAATTACATATCTACAGTGATAGAAATCTACATAAGAGAATACCAATAATCCAAACTAAAAGTGTGCTTGATCTGAACCATGCCATGTAAAAATATGTCCAGGTTTGCAGCTATTTTGTCATTCAATGAACTAATACTGGTATTTAAAGTCTATTTCATTAATAAAGTAGTCCTCTAAAAATATTCTCTAGGAGACTGTTATTAAGTGCTGCACAATGATAGATTTATAAACTTATTAGTGAGTCAGAAATGTACAACATTCATTTTTAACAACTCTTTACAGCCCTTGAGATCTCTACCAAATTACTGAAATAAGTCTAGTTCAGTTTAATAAATTGTCACAAACAAAATATACTTCAGTCAAATATAATACTGCTAACAAGAAATATTGAATTCTATTTCACATAGAAAGAGGGCCCACACATATTTTAAAATAAATTCAGGTGTATCTTACCTAGCCCATATTTATGTTTTTGTTTTTGTTTTTTTTTAATTGGATGCAACTGAAAATTTACTAACAGTTTAACTCAAGTCACCCTATTTTTTCTGACATCAAATAAAGTTAATTTTTATCTGCACAGGTAATTTGGGTCTTTCATTGAGACAACTGTTATTTTATCTCTGCTGAAAAGTGACTGACGCAGAGTAAGATCAACTTCAAAGTGCAAAAGACTAATGATTAATGTTAATATTATATGAGATATCTCCTAAGAAGACATTTAATTCACAGAAGCATAATTAAAAAGAAGGTTCATTATCTACAGAAACTTTCAAATAGATTTACCTTAACATTTAGGTTAATCTTCATTTCAGGCATATGTCACTGTACTAACTTCCACGAACATCCTAGTTCAAACTGGGGTGAGACACTACAGTGCTGCTATTTGTCCATCTTGACCTAACAATAAAATCTGTTTTCAATGCACTATCTTCATCACACAAGAGAGTGTCTTGGGAAAAAGTACTTTTCAGAAAAATAAAAGTTAAAATTTGAATACTGTCAAGGTAGAACACTACTAGTTTCATTCCCCCAAATTCCCCCTGAGGCTATTTGTTAGCAAGGCCACTTTACAAAAATCCAAATTCTAAAAGATTAAATTTTGTAATTAGAAGTTAGACTATCACACCTCTACTCATTTTTAAATGAGAATACACATGTTGGACACTGAAATGCATCAAAAGTATTTAGTCTTCACTACATGAAATTTTTTTAGTATTCTAAGTTTTAGAAAATAACTTACTTAATACAAATAAAACTATTTTCCCCAACTATACCAAAAAACAAAAATGTTTCCACAACAGATTAAAACAAATGACTGTAGATTTGCTTATAACAACACTGGAGAGAATTAATTAAAGGATCTATGGATTCAAATGAGTGATTGTTGGCTCATCAGTTCTATTATTTTAGTGTGCTTTCATTGCAAATTCATGGTAAGGGGGCAGGGATTCTATTAAAAGACAATATAAAAATGGTGCCCTTTTGGCTGATCTGTAGATGTTATTAACTACTATACTGTAAAGGCTATTTTCACAGGAATTAATTTTGCAAGGCATAATTCTTTGCATCAGATTTTTGATACAAATTCATTATTCCTTGATTATTTTCAAATCACTAACATTAAAAATCAATGAACACATTAGAAAGTAGAGTTCTTACCAGTGACTACATCCCTAGGGACTTGGGGTGCAGAATCCCTACAAAGCACTGACTTAATCTTAGTGCCCAGAACCTAAGAAGTAAGAAGAGCAGGGAGGACTCAGGTAGTGCACAGAAGGGAAACCTGATGTCTCCACAAATGCATTACAACTGACTGCTCACATGTGACTATGAAATAACTTACTGAGAGCTGTATATAAGCCAAAAGTTTGAACTGTTTTTCTAGGCAGTCTCTTTGAAGGCTTTGTCCCACATTTATTTTAACTGTTGAAAATATTTAAGAAAAATATTTTCTAGGAACAGCCTTTATATCAATACAAAAGCCTGGCAAAAAGACGCATGTAACTTGCTCTTGACCACAACAGTATCACTGTGTTTGATTCATATCCTTTATCTCTCCATATCTTATTTAGTCTTGAACTAAATAAGACTCAGTTACATGAAGAAAGCAAACCAACTTATAGACGAAAATATTCTGGCATAACTAAGCACACCCAAAATAATGTAAATGTCCTGAAGGCCAAAAAATACATGGCCTTTCCAAAATATCAACTAAAACACGGACATTAGTCACTTGGAAGTGTCAAAAGAGTGTGTGTCTATTTAATGATCAGTTGCATTTCATAGTAATACCCTGTACTCCACATGAAGAACTAGCCTAGCCAATTTCATATTCTGTGAAGAACCCTGTTTTTAACATACCTTATCTAGTAACAGGAAATTAACATCACCTAAGTTTAGGTTGTTTATGTTAGCGTAAATTTAGTTACAAAGAATATGTGTTGGCTTTCTCTTAGTTTCAATTTTAAAACATACAGAAAACTGTCAAATGTAAACGTTGAGATTTGGATAAATAAGCTATTGTTCCAGAGTCACTGTGTTAATCTTTCTTTGACGTTAATTATATCACACCTAATGAGGCTTGCATTTAATTATATATGGCTTTATATATATTGACAGATATAATATGTAAATAAAAATTATAAATAGTAATGGATATGTTAAAATTAGTTCACATGAACTTCCTTGTAATAAATTACAGTGCTAATGAAAAAGATTGTCATATCAAAATTTCCTACCTCTAAGGCAAACCACAATCACTCTGGAAAAACAGCTGACCTATCTACAGTACTAACATCAACCCAACTCCACAACCTCATCATCTCAGCAGAGTGATTGTTCAAACTACATACAGTTTTGCCTGCTGTACCACTGCTACTGGAACTCTTGTTCAGCCAACTGTTGAAAATCCCAAAGTACAATACAAGCTTCTACACAAAAGAAATATACAAATAAATAATGTGTGCCTTTCTCAGGAGTTTTGCTTTGACCTTAGATGAAATCCTTATAATTTTGTGAATAAAGTACACACACACACACACACACACACACATACATGCACTTACAAACACACAAAATTATAGGATTCAAAGAAATCTTACCCCTTTATCTGAAGGACATTCTTCACAGCTTGGTCCTACCAATCAGTAGTTTTGAGAATACAGATTTTTTTTCTTGTAGACTTTATCACAATTTTCAAATAATAATTTGATATTTTTGCCTAAGTAGACAAGCCCCCTCAAAACCTTACATCCTTTCCCCTTAATTAAACAAATCCATCCACAGGAAAAAAAAAATCTATAAGCAAGTCGTATGTCACTTGCAACATTCCACTGTAACTCCTAAATAGAAAGGTGAAGAACTGAAACACAGCAGCATTCACAATGGGTCATTATTGCTGTGGGACCAATACTTGATCACTGGGTAACGCAGTTGTCTCCCATATCCTGAGCATAGCGGTCTGATATTGTAGTCCTTAATTCATCAATATCCCTCCGTAACTGGCACACATCTGACAGCTTTTTAGTGAGTGTTTCTGGGCTGTGGTCATTCTCAGTCTCTTCAGCTGAACAGTTCATTGCTGTGAAAATAAAGCATGGAAAGAATGTCTCACATTATTTTGAACAAAGACATTTTAGGATTTTTACCTTAATCATCATGGAAATATAGTGCTATACATTATATTTGCTATACATTACATATAATGCTATACATTATACTGATCAAGGAAGCTTAAGTTTAAATTAGGCATCATTCAAAATTTAATAGATTTTTATTTACCTGGTATTCTAAAAATATGGTAAGTAAAATTTATTTAGTTTATGTATTGATGCACACAAATTCAACATGCAGAATGGATGACAATATTCCAAAAAACAAAAAAGGGTCAAGCTCTAATGCCTCTTCAAGCTCAACTAAAGCATTCACTTCTTCCCATCTGACACAATCTGAGAATTTGTGTACTGAGAAGTTGTATCCTAAATTTTTATGACTGCAAAATAGGTTTTATTGGAATTATTTTTTTTAAGAGGGAGAGGGAGAGAGAAAGAGAGAGCAAGAGTGCATCCCTATCTGCGGGTTCATTTTTCAAATGCTCACAAAGGTGGTGGTGTGGGGGTGAATGAAGCTGGTACCCAGGAATTCAATCCAGGTTTCCCATGTGTGTGGCAGGAACCCCATCAATCAAACCATCACTGTTACCTGCCAATGTCTGCATTTGTAGGATACTGGAGTCAGGAGACTGAGCTGGGTTTTTATCAACTCTAGATCTGATGTGGGATGTGAGCATGTACGATATGGGATTTGTTTCAACTGCTAGGTGAAATGTCCACCTTTGGCATGAAAATATTGATTTCTGAAATATATGGTATGTATGTACAAGTGTATGTATGTATATATATAATATATATGGAGAGAAAGACAGAGTGTGTGTGTGTTGGGATCTACAATCCCAAACAACTGAATCAGGCTGATGGTTGCCCAGTGGTTGAATAACTGGAAGCAAAGCTATGAGTCAGCTAGCTTTTACTTTTTGAAGGTTGGAAGAGTCAGCTAGCTTTTCATTACTTACTCCAGCTCCTCTCTTCACAAACATATCTCAATATAAAAGCAGGTGAAGCCAGTGATTGTGGAAAAAAAAAAAAACTTTCTGGTACATTCATGGGCCCTGGTAATTTACTGGAGTGTAAGAGTCAGGTAACTGTTAATGTTCTATGGTAACTGAGCATCTGTCATGATCCAGCAACCATGCTGGATTTTGAGGTCAACAAAATAACGACATGGTAGCTTGCTCTCAAGGCTTTATGCACAGTATCATAAAAATTAGCAGAGCGAGGTGCTATAGGTGATCTACCACTACACACAGCTGCAGACGCACAAAATGAAGAAAACAACCAGTCCTAATTTGAGAATTTCAGAGGTGACAGATACTTATTCACTGGGTACATCAAGGAAGCAGAAATGAACAATGGTACACAGGCAGAAAACAAAACAGTGAGATAGAATTTGAGAAGCTTCAAAAAATAAGTATTCAGCTCTAAAATGGTAGAGCATAAATTATGAGAGGAAAGGGCCAAGAAATAAGGCTGGAGAGTAGTGGGTAGCTACCTATCACTATCACAGGGTAGTGAAAAAATTCAGGGCGCCAGATTCAAGGTTTAGATGAATCACTCTGGTACCACGTGAAAAATGAGCTGGGGGTGGTGAGCGAGATGGTTGGTAGACCAGTCCAGGTGATGGGCTATGAAACCTCAAATTAAAGCAACAGTGCAATGGGATGTAATTGCAGGAATAAATATTAGATATAGTAAGGGGATAGAGTTCAATCATCATCAAGGGTCAGGGATTAGGCATGAGTCACACACAGATGAAGGAAAAAACTAGGGTGGAGGATAAAATCTGGGCTGGGGTAACAAGTGAATGGTGGTGTCACTAAGAGGAGGAGCAGGTTTAGGGAGGGAAGAAAAGTAGGTTGTGTTTAGAACATGGTGCTCTGTGATGTCAGTGAAACAGCCAGATCTGAATATAATTAGGATAACAGACACATTCCAGGAAGGGTAAGAGGTAAATGTCTAAATAGGGGAAAGGTATAAAAATAACAGAAAATAGAACATGGATAAGATTATTCAGAGGAAGTATGAATAAAAAATGAAATACAAATCACAACAAAAGGTTCCTGGGGACCCCAATAACTAAGTGGCAGGGAATTCTACACTGAAGACTGAGGCTGAGCAGTCACAAAGGCAGAAGCAGAACCTAGAGAATGACATCATGGAGACAAAGGCAGCAAGAAGAAGGTGGAGTGACACAGGGTCATCAGATAAGTCAACGGAGTCATGAGGAAAGGATTCAAAAGAACCCAGTGACTTTTGACAAATTAGCTAGCTGGCCTAATTTTCACAATGCCAGACATAAGGTAAGATTTCTGTGGTTGAATTTTGTTCTGTTAACTTTTTAAAACCTTCTATTTATTCAAAAGACAGTGAAATTGGCAGTGGCGGGTTGAGGGGGTGATAAAAAGTTCTCTACTTGTTCACTCTCCAAATGCCTGCACTGGACCAGAGCCAGAGCCAGGAGTTAGGAACGCAATCCACATCTCTCATATGGGCGGCAGGACCCAATTACCTGAATCATCACTGCTGCCTCCCAGAGTCTACATAAGCAGGAAGCCAGAGTCAGGACCCAGGCAGGAATACTCCAATATGAAATGTGCTCATCTTAACCACTAGGTTAATGGCCACTCCCCGTAGTTACACTTTAATGAATGGAAGGAGATGAGGTGTTGAGAGATGAGGAGTTTAAATTCTTCAATATTTTATATATATATATAATATCTATATCTATATCTATCTATCTATCTATCTATCTATCTATATATATATTAGGGTAGCTCTAATACCCTATTACTAACAATGTTAAAAAAATGCTGTATAGGGTAGTGAGCATGCAGGAGACTATAAATAATTAAAGGGCTGATCAACTCTAAATTGCTGGTGAAAATGAGTTGAATGTATGAGAGCTTTGGCTTCCTACTCCTCAGAGATCTAACGAAACCACCCTTGTTCTCCTGGCAAGGCTGTCCTCTAAGATCCACACCAAACATCAGCTACTTGATGGAGCCTTCACTGCCCACCCTAAATTGATTTAGTTGCTTTTTAACCCCCACATGCTCCCATTATCTTTTGTCCACTTTTAAATTATAGCATTTATTATCATGCTATATTATTTCTTTAACATATGGGCAAGGGTTCTGTTCATACTATCTGTGTTACCAGCACCTAACTTAGTACTAGGACCAGAGAGGGTATCTGAAAAATGTTTAATGATTGAGTAAATATACTTTAACATTGATTTTTTTTTACACTCTAACACTCATATATGTATATATGTATCTGTGAAGTAGAAGGGAAAATTCTCTGACATAGCTAAGTACAGCCATGTTTCATGCAAGTGATAAACTTTGATCAAGAACATTACTTCATCTACCAAAATACCTACTATGATGTAAGATGGAAGATTTCTTTCTGATGAAACTGCAAACATAACCAGTCCCACTCTACAATTTCACATGAACTATATTATTATTACGCTGTTACTCAATATAAAATGTTGATCCAAAAACTTATACCATTGTCTCCTCACTGAAATTCTTTTCTCTTTTAAAAAGAGACTAACATGTCAATGTTCTGCTAATGCGGAACTTTGAGAAATGAGCACTCCTACACTGTAGTACAGAAGGGAAAAGACACTAGGATATCACTGCGGCAGCCCTCACAATTACGTATAGAGGAAGAACTGGAGAGTGTGCAGGTGTTACACTGATGGGGTGAAGCCAGCAGGTGTGTACAACATGGGCAAATCTGCAGGCCATGAAAACTAGCTCAAGGTGATCACAATTGTACTCACACTAAGGAACTACCATTTCAAACTCAATGCAAAGGAAAGCACGTGAGTATCTTCCCACAAATAGTTTATCACAGGACATAGGGCCAGCTTATTGAGATACGTAACTACCACATGAAAGCAAATAGAATCATTACTTTTAGAAGAGTAATTGGGAATGCAGACTTAACTACCACTACTGTCACATGCACTTAGAGATCAGCACAGGAAACATCTCCAGACATTCTGTCATGTGGTAGTGCACATCAGCTATGACTCTGCTCACCACTCTAAGTTTAATGAGGTCAATTCTAGCAAGTAGTAACTGGTATATTTGGAAAGTTACAAATTAAGTAGGAAAGAATATCATAAAAATACACACGAAAAAGTCAAAAGTTCCTGATTCATGAAGACAGGTTTCTAATTCTTTTAGAGAATAAATAAAGACAAGTTGTCAGCCACTTACATCTGATTCCCAGTAATAATGAAAGATTAGGCTCCTTGCCCTGAGCACGCTGATTAAGAATACTACACAATGCTTTCAAGTCAAACAAACAATATGACATTTCCTTGAACAGCTGATCAATCACAGTCAAGTCAAACAGTGGCCGTTTGGAAAGCACTGTCTGCTGCCTAGACTGGTCTGTTTCCTGGCCCTGATCCAGTAAAGGGCACATCTCTTCTGTTTGTCTTTGGTTCTGCAATGGATAAAGAAAACAAAAACCAGATTGTTAGAACAGGAAAGGTACTCAAGAGCCATTTATAGGTTAATATTTCCTGCAAATCTGTCAACAAAACAATAGAGTAACACTAACTATATCCACACTAACAAAATTCAACTGTATAAAAACAATGAGGAAAATTCTAGAAAAAGAATAAATTTAAATCAAAGTAGTTTCTCTATGTCATCTAATGCTCTGGGTTAAACCTGATACGAAACAGCACAATTTATAGCATCCATTTCTAAGTGAATATCTCACATAATGACCAACTTGGTTGTGTGTACATTTTTCTATAACAAGATTTAATCCAAGGATAAAAGGACTACAAAGCAATTTGAAAACACTTCCTATAGTTTTACTGTCAGTAGCAATAGTGATTTAATTACTCTAAAACTATTTGTGTGTTGAGATTAAAAAAAAAACCGCATGTTGTTATGGTGAAAAGGAACCAAAAATTTCAGGAACCAAATAAAGTAGAAAATTAAAGAAAGAAAACAGAAAAAAAATCTGAATTATTAAATTTGAACTAGAAGTATCAATATGAAATCATGATTTATTACAGAGAAAACTCATTTCACCTCCACATGAAAATTGCTAATTAAACATAAGCTTAATTAGCTTTCCAGTTGAAAATGTATTTCAGAATAACCAAAAAGCCTGAAGTGATGAGGAAAATATTTCTTCTAGATGAATGCCAGCTAATAAATGTAAAAAGGAATGATGTAATTAGGAAAAAAGTCAGCAATAATTTAATGAGTTAGGCATTGATCATGTGTGGATGCTTAAAAATAAGAAGGGAGAGAAACAGTGCTGGCATATTGCATAAGTCATCTAAGTTACTTGCTATTTGCAGGGGTTGTAACTTTACAATTAAAAGAATCAGGCAGGCTGTCATTACTTTAACCCTGTGAGATCACTTGTGTGTCACCTACAGAGGGATAATCAAATACTATATAATCTGATAAATAATATCTACAAAGTATTCATGCTGAAAAAGTTTGTTATCAACCTAATGATGGCTTTAGCTTTAACTTCTAATTTTCAAGACACAAGGGATAAATCAGAGGATGACACTATGAGGTAGCAATTAGAAAAAGCCAAAAAGTGTGACAATCTACAAGTCAACAGGCCCAGATATTTTTCAACAAGTCAATATCCTGGGGTAGAAAGAGACTTTAGATTTATCAGATATAACAATGAAATGTATGTACGGTTCTTGACAGAACATTGGATTCTATTACCACTATGAAGGATTTTCAAAAAGTTTATGGAAAATGCATATTATGATAAAACTTTAAAGGAATCTCAATTTTCTCCCATAGAAATAAACTCATAATCCCATTTCCATAAATTTTTTGAAGTACTGCCACATATAAAATAAAATACTTAGTGAATAAATGGGGGAAATTTGAATATAAACAAAATACTATGAAGTGTTCAGGAATTCTTTTTGGATGTGTATATGGTATTATGTATATACAGGAAAATATCTTATATATTGTTTGTTTGTTAGTTTGTTTGTTTCTGACAGGCAGAGTGGACAGTGAGAGAGAGAGAGACAGAGAGAAAGGTCTTCCTTTGCCGTTGGTTCACCCTCCAATGGCCGCCGCGGCCGGCGCGCTGCGGCTGGCACACCGCGCTGATCCAATGGCAGGAGCCAGGTACTTATCCTGGTCTCCCATGGGGTGCAGGGCCCAAGCACTTGGGCCATCCTCCACTGCACTCCCTGGCCACAGCAGACAGCTGGCCTGGAAGAGGGGCAACCGGGACAGAATCCGGCGCCCCGACCAGAGTAGAACCCGGTGTGCTGGTGCCGCAAGGTGGAGGATTAACCTAGTGAGCCGCGGCGCCGGCCAGGAAAATATCTTATATTTTTGAAGAACATTCTTTTTCTTTTTTTGACAGGCAGAGTTAGACAGTGAGAGCAAGAGCGAGAGCGAGAGCGAGAGCGAGAGCGAGAAAGAAAGGTCTTCCCGCTGGTTCACCCCCCAAATGGCTGCTACGGCTGGCACGCTGCGCCAATCCGAAGCCAGGAGCTTCCTCCTGGTCTCCCATGCGGGTACAGGGCCCAAGCACTTGGGCCATCCTCCACTGCCTTTCCGGGCTACAGCAGAGAGCTGGACTGGAAGAGGAGCAACCAGGACTAGAACCCGGGGTGCTGGCACCACAGGCGGAGGATTAGCCTAGTGAGCCATGGCACCGGCCAAAGAACATTCTTAAGAACTTAGAAACAAAATGTTATGATGGCAGTTTAACCTAAAATATATATTTTTTGTGTAACACATCCTTAAATACATGCCAGGTATGTCATCTCCTACTTAACTGAGAACACACGATCTGTTTTAATCATTAGGTGCCAACACTGCACCTTCCTTAAAGATTTTCAAATGTCATGTTGTTTAGCTTCAGTGTTTGCCTTATTTATTGACTTACAAAATATCTGACTTTGCTGTAGTCAAATCTGTGAAATTATGTTCTAAGACATAAGTAAGTTTATATTTCTATTATCATTTGGTAAGAAATCCAGTGGATTTAATAAGTTGGCACATCCAAATCAAATCCTCAACTTAAAAATGTTCTATTAATATTTACAAAATAAGCATTTACTTAAATAGGTAGTAAATTGTCCTTTGAAAATAAGTTGAATTTCTTCTACTCACTTCAAGCAGTGCTTTTGTTAATCTCTGGAGGTTTCTTTCTTTCCTTTCCAGATCTTCCATCATCTTTTGAGTTGTCAATTTCTCTTTAGAAAGTTTTCCTTGCATTGACTAGAGTAAGGAAAATTGGAAAGCATAGCATTTTAACACGACTCCAAAGAAAAGAAAAAACACCAACTTCACCAAAAAAGTTTTTAATCAGTATAAAACACATCGAATCCAAAGTTACTGCTTAATGCTAGATTACAAATAACTCTTATTTTATTGATTCTAAAATTATATTAGGAGTATATTGGCAACACATCTATTTATTTTTCTTCATATGCTTCATAAGATGTAAGATAATAAAGCTCGTAAGATCATCCTTGTTTTTTTATCTGAAACACAGCTAAACCTCCTTTCTCCTGGTGTACAGTATTCCAAGTGAATACGATGCTGAATTCTGATCAAAGGTCTATTATAGCATTTTGATAAGCTCATCTTTTTTACTGCATCATAAAATTACAAATTATCTAGACATGATACTATTCTAAAAAATTCTGTGTACACACCAAAGCAGCATAAAAAGACATTTAAAGAGTATTTGGCTATTTATTCCGATTTTTTTAGCTATGCACTGAAGAAAAATTTACCTACGCTCTGTAGTTACTAGTGGCATGTAGGGTTTTTATTTATTTTTTAAAGATTTATTTATGCTGGCGCCGCGGCTCACTGGGCTAATCTTCCACCTTGCGGCGCTGGCACACCGGGTTCTAGTCCTGGTCGGGGCACTGGATTCTGTCCCGGTTGCCCCTCTTCCAGGCCAGTTCTCTGCTGTGGCCAGGGAGTGCAGTGGAGGATGGCCCAAGTACTTGGGCCCTGCACCCCATGGGAGACCAGGAGAAGCACCTGGCTCCTGCCATCGGATCAGCGTGGTGTGCCGGCCGCAGCGAGCCGGCCGCGGCGGCCACTGGAGGGTGAACCAACGGCAAAGGAAGACCTTTCTCTCTGTCTCTCTCTCTCTCAGTGTCTACTCTGCCTGTCAAAAAAAAAAAAATAAATAAATAAATAAGTAAAATTTATTTATTTATTTAAAAGGCAGAGTTACACAGAGAGAGGAGGAGAGGCAGAGAGAAAGAGAGAGGTATTCCATCCGCTGGTTCATTCCCTAGTTGGCTGCAACGGTCAGAGCTGAGCTGATCTGAAGCCAAAAGCCATGAGCTTCTTCCAGGTCTCCCACGCAGGTGCAGGGGCTCAAGGACCTGGGCCATCCTCTACTGCTTTCCCAGGCCATAGCAGAGAGCTCAATTAGAAGTGGAGCAGCTGGGACATGAACTGGCACCATGCTTTTTCTTTTCTTTTTTTTTTTTTTTAATCAACTTTTTCCTTTTGTTGGATTATAAAACCAATAAACTTGTGACCAGAGGAAGGATGTAATTTTTTCCTCCAGGTCTACATTTCAGTCTTGTTTCTGAAAATACTTCAGTATACTGAGCACCTAAACAGCACACGATCTACTATGAAGTCTTTTCCCCCATTATCTCTGAAGGAAAAGGACAGAGCACCATCAGTTGAGAGAAGCCTGTAAATATAAAGCAGTTTTCTCAGCAAGAGACTCAGACTTGATTCTTTAAAAATTCTGTCTGCTAAACCATGAAAAATTTATATTAGTGAACTCAAAAGTTGAATACAAAGTAATCTAACTCTATAAACAATTATATTTGCTTCCAAGTAAAACTTGTTTTATAGTCCATAAAAACAAATGACACAGCACAAAGTTATACAGTTCTTTATTTTTTGATCAAATGATATGAAGATATTTATTTAGATTGCTGAAGATCTTTGCTTTCTGGCCTGATGAGATTATCTGTTTAGAATCCAGAATTCAACCTGAATTCTTCTGAGGTCTTAACTCTTTATTAGAATTACGAAACAAAGACATCATAAATAAACTATTCTAAAACTGCCATTTTAACAATAAAACTGAGTCCAAGAGATGTTTCAAAAATTCACGATATAATTTCTTAGGAGATTACAGTGGGTTATACGTTTATCAATTAATAGTCATGTTGAATGTCACTAATAATTGGCTAGTAATTCCGACTACATCTTCCTATGTAAGAGTAAATGAAAATAGAACATCTTTTCCATAAGAGTAACTCTGAAATCTTTGCCAGCAGTGTCATTTATGATAAGACAGAAAATCAAATTTGGGAAATTACACCAAGTTTAACATATCTTATTGATTGGATTGAAGGGAAGCTATCTAATATGGGAAAGAGCTCATGGATATTTTGATCCCAAAAGGACAAAATGCTGTACCACTTTCAAGATAACACTAAGTATGAGTGCTATAGCTTTCTAACAGCAATATTTTACCTAAAACATTAATTACATTTCCTAAGTTGTATGAAAAAAAGCACATGCTTAAAGGTTGAGGTTAAAAGGAAGCAAAAGGGAAAATTTCTACTAAGCTTAGAATGGGCTAACCAGATTAAAACTGAAACAAAACTTGATTATTAAGCTATGTCTATAAAACGAAGCATAATTCAGGCAGTATACCATACATTTCTTTCTCTCTCTCTTTTTTTAACCATTCTGGGGTGTGTGGCACATCAGGCTAAGCTACTGCCTGAAACATCATCATCCCACGTGAGCGCATTCCATTTCTGATCCATCTCCCTGCTAATGCACCTGGGAACACAGCAGAGGACGACCCAAGTGCTTGACCCTGTGCAAGTAGTACCTTTTTGGCATTTTACTTAAAATTCATATAGGCTCTGAAAATGTACATTAGCACTTATAAATGTAAATGCACAATATGTTTATTGTGGTATATGACTCCATAAGTTATTAATTTTATCTGCATAAAGCATTTTTACCTATTAAGAACACTTGATAGAAATTTTTAATTTTTCCTATAAAATGAATAATGTATATTATTTTGCTAAGAACTTTTCATTTTGAAACTTCTAAGATTGCTCAAAACTGGAATGCTCTAGTATGCATATATGAATGACTCATTTTCTGAAATGTTAGGTGTGGGGAGCAATCCGGACTGGACTGAGTTACTGGAATTAAGACTTATTCTATGCATCTGCTCTCCCACAATATGGCGCTGGGAGAGAAGTAAACAGCTTCCGCACAGCTGCCTCCAGTTCAACCAATAAACTGTAGGACTTGCTCCTGATTGGAGAGCAGCGTACTCGGCGTGTGGGCAGCCGAGTTAGGATTGGCGGAGGAGGACTATAAAGGAGGAGAGAGACGGCATGCACCAGGAACATCTAAGGGGAACATCTAGCTGAAGGAACACCTGTGCAGCCCCCGAGAAGAGCCGGCCGGCGGTGTGCCGCTCCCCTGTGGAAGTGGGGAATGTGGCCAGGGGGAACTGCCCTTCCACGGAGGTGGAAGGGATAGTAGCCAACCCGGGAAGAACCAGCAGCAAACCCGGGGAGGGCCGAGCAGACGAAAGAACAGCGCAGGGTCCTGTGTCGTTCCTCCACGAAGACGGGGAGCGACATAATGGTGCCGTGACTCGGATTAGGAAACCTAGCTCGGATAGGAAACCTGACTCGGATAGGAAACCTAGGACGGATATGAAACTTAGGAGGAAAGAAACGGGAAGAACTGGGAAAATACCGGAGAGAGAGACTAGCAAACAGCCTAGGGAAAAGCCAGACGAAAAGGGTGCCGGAAGAAGCTATTGAAAGCCTAGGCATAGACTCGGATACGGACTACGGGGGGAAGCTGGGAGGAATCTCTAAGGTTGAAAGCGAAAGTGAAAGCTAGAACAAACAGACTCAGATGCGGACTGTGGGGGAGAGGCCAGGAGAAATGAGGGAGGAATATTGTTGGAGGAAAGCTTGGGGAAACATACCGGGTAGAGAAAAATGTTAGGGAAATTGAAGCCGCGGGGGGCAGGCCGAGGCGGATACGAAAGCCACTTTGGGGTTCTCAAGTTAGCCCGGGAATAGGGGGCGAAAAGTTGAAACCAGAAGCTGAAACGTAAGCCAGATTGGGATCCGTCTGATTAGCCCGGGGAGCAAAGGACGGGAAGCCAAACCGTGGGGCGGAGACGTATGCTGGGTTGAATTCGCCAGGCTAGCCCGGGGAACTTAGATTGAATGCTAGTGGCGGACACGTAAGCTACGCTGTGTTACTCGCGGAAGCCGCCGCATGCAGAGAGAGCACGGGGCGTGAATAGATAGGGAACAGGGCTGGCGCGAGGCCGTGGTGCAGACGCGAAGGGCGTGGAGACCGCGGAGCGTGCACGCAGAGCCGGGAACCCGCCGGCGGGGCGAGGCGCCGGGAAGCCGCGCAGAGCCGTGAAGCTGCCGCGGGGCGAGGTGCCGAGAAGCAGCCTCGGGGCGAGCGCCGCCGGGAAGCCGCAGGGATAAGAGAAACAGAAGTTTAGAAGTAAAAGGAGAGAAATAGGAATGCTGGAAGATAGAAGTAAAATGGGAGAAATAGGAATGCCCGGAGATAGAGAAATAGAGAAATAGAGAGGCCTCCCTACAACACTGCAATGTGAGAGCTTGGATTCGGTCTGCCTGATTAGGGAAGTGGTGAGCACCTGCGGGCGGCTGGCAGCTTATGCGCCGCAGGTCACCGAAGACAGGCACATTATCAACACCAATAAGTCACCCCACAACATGGCAATGAGAGAGCTTGGATTCGGTCTGCCTGATTAGGGCGATAAGCACCAGCAAGCAGCTCGACCAGAGTATGAGCTGCAGGTCACCGAAGATAGGCACGAACCAACACTAATAAGTCTCCCCCACAATACGGCAATGAGAAAGCTTGGATTCGGTCTGCCTGATTAAGGCGGTAAGCGCCAGCAGGCGGCTCGACCAGAGTATGAGCCGCAGGTCACCGAACACAGGCACGCATCAGCGCCTAAAAACCTCCTCACAACATGGCGAAGAGAGGACCCGGATTCGGTTTTCCTGATTGATAGGACTTGTAAGAACCTGTGGCAACTCTAGCAAGCAGAGCAGAGTGTGTGCCACGGGGCACCGAAGACAGGCGCGTATCAACGCCAAAAATAAAAAGGGGGATCTGTGGGGAGCAATCCGGACTGGACTGAGTTACTGGAATTAAGACTTATTCTATGCATCTGCTCTCCCACAATATGGCGCTGGGAGAGAAGTAAACAGCTTCCGCACAGCTGCCTCCAGTTCAACCAATAAACTGTAGGACTTGCTCCTGATTGGAGAGCAGCGTACTCGGCGTGTGGGCAGCCGAGTTAGGATTGGCGGAGGAGGACTATAAAGGAGGAGAGAGACGGCATGCACCAGGAACATCTAAGGGGAACATCTAGCTGAAGGAACACCTGTGCAGCCCCCGAGAAGAGCCGGCCGGCGGTGTGCCGCTCCCCTGTGGAAGTGGGGAATGTGGCCAGGGGGAACTGCCCTTCCACGGAGGTGGAAGGGATAGTAGCCAACCCGGGAAGAACCAGCAGCAAACCCGGGGAGGGCCGAGCAGACGAAAGAACAGCGCAGGGTCCTGTGTCGTTCCTCCACGAAGAGGGGGAGCGACATTAGGCTTTCTGAAATTTAGAATAATAATCTGTTTATGCCTCACTAAGCATGCAGAGGATCAGTAAAATTAAAAATTTGCATTAATTTTTTAATGTTTGTAATCTCTTAAATTCCTAATATTATTTTTAAAAATTCTGCTAAGTTACTAACTTACAGGTATTTATTGTGATCATTTATGAAGTTGAAAAGTGGTTTTAAGCACATCTGTTGCTTTGATATAGTGATCCAGAAACGCCCTTATGGAAAGAAAACCAGATGTGTCTTAGCTAACAGATTCTATATAAACTGCATACTCAACATAAGAGGAAATACTCTGAAAGAAAACTTACATTAGCAGTTCACACATACATAAATTATATATACACATGCCATACAAGCATATTACAAATGCATTATTTTATGCATAGAGCAAAAACCATTGCCAAAAACTGTTCTGTGTACTAAGTCACACAAAGTGAATAATGAAACTGTCTACTTCCCACTTTATATACACTACTTAAAAGTACTGAAAATCAAAACTAAAAGAAGTGAAAAATGTTCCTGTCTCCTCAAAAACATTCTAAAGTTAGTTTTTCTTGTGTGTATGTTATTTTATTTGGTTTGATTTTACTATGAGAGTAAAGTTATAAATTCATCTAGTCTAGTACATCATTTTGGTGCAATTGTCTTGATCTGTGCTAGTTGTACTCTGTAAATTCAGGGCAAATGTGAACTCAGTGAAAGAAGCAAATAACTTATTGGTATTTGGTATTTAAAAATGTATTGGAGTTCACAGGCATCTTGAAAGAATGATAGACCTTTGAGGGCGTATGGAATGAACTCTGGAAACCTAATGCAGGAATCATAATGTATGGATTTATTGAACTTGATCAACTTGATTCTATTTACTGATTATATTGTTTTGATTTTTCTCTTAAATTTCTAATAGTTGTATAATGTATCTCAAAATTTAATTGCTAATGTTCCCTCCCTCCAACCTCTTTCCACATGCTCTAAGTACTTACCTATGATAAAAATAACATACAAAGTATAAAAAAAAAAAATCCATAAAATTCTTGGCCTTTGTGGAACCTTTACAAGGGGGAAAAACAACAAAGGAAATAAAAACAAGGATGCAAATTACCTAGTACTGTATGTCAGAATTTGCTTACAGCCATACAGAACAAATATACAAAGTAAGGGGGAGGGAGTTGAAATTTTAAGTGAGGAAAGGGCTCAGGAAAAAGTGACGTATGAGGGAAGACAGGAAGGACATGAGGGACTGTCCCCAGCTGGCCAGAGCATGCTTCCGTCAGTACAAAGGCAGATGGTGTCTTCTGTGTTTGGGAAAACAGCAAGAGAGCCAGGGTGGATAAGAATAGTAGGAGATGGAGTCAGAGAAGGCAGGCAGCACGGGGAACAGATTGTTTAGGGCCTGTAAGTCAGTGTAAGAATTGTGATGTTTACTTTGGAAAAAACGAAAAAATATTCAAGAGTTCTGAGCAGAAACATGATGTAACCTGATTTATGTTCAGCAAGATCACTCAGGCTGATGAGAATAGAGTGGGAAGGCAAAAGTAGAAGTTGGAAGAAATAACACAGATAAGAAAGATGGCTTAGATCAGGGTGGCAACAGAGGAGGGGGAGAGAAGAGGTCAGATTCTAGATATATTTAGAAGGAAATGGAATTTGCTGACAAATATGACTTAAGAGAGAAGTCAAGGGTAAGTCAAAGGTTTCTGGATTGGGCAAATGGAAGGGCAAACTTGTGCTAATAGGAAATCTGGAAAGTGGAGCAGGGTGTGCTTATTTTGGTGGTAAAGGAGTAAGAAATTCAGTTGATGGTGAATAGGTAATTGGATATACAAGTCAGGAGTTCAGGGGAGAAATTTTTAGCTGGAAAAAAAACTTAGGGATTAGGGAGTACACAAGTTCAAGCTACAAAACAGTTAAGATCACCAGGAGAAACGGATGAATTCTAGGGAAAAAAATTCTGTTTTTTCTTTTATTTAAGACATACAGCTTTATGTATTTCATATATTCAGAGTCAGGAACATAGTGATACTTCCCACCCTGCCCTCCCTTCTTCCTCCTCCCTCTCCTATTCCCATTCTTAATTTTTACAAAGATCTGTTTCAGTTTACTTAATGATCGTAAGGTTAACCCTCCACTAAGTAGATTCCAACAAATAGTATGAAGGAAAAAAAAAAAAAAAACAAAAAACCACTGTTCTTCAACAGAAGAGGCAACAGCTGTAAATAATCATTGAATCTCAAAAATGTACATTTTGCCTCAATACATTATATTTTAGGTACTCTGTTACGTTAGAACAGAGAAAACACATGGTATCACTTTTTGGGACTGGCTTATTTCAGTACACATTATGGATTCCAGTTGTGTCCATTTTGTTACAAAACACAGGATTTCATTTTTTTTACAGCTGAATAGTACTCCACAGTGTGTAAATACCATAATTTCTTTATCCAGTCATCAGTTTGTGGACATCTGGGTTGATTCTATATCTTAGCTACTGTGAATTGAGCTGCAGTGAACATTGAGGGTACAGAAAACTTTCATATGCTTATTTCTTTTGGTTTGGGTAAATTCCCAGCAGTGGATGGCTGGATCATATGGTAGGTCTATATTCAGATTTCTGAAATATCTCCATACTATCTTCCACAGTGGCTGTACCAGTTTACATTCCCATCAACAGTGGATTAAGGTACGTTTTTCTTCACATCCTCAACAGGATTTGTTGTTTGTTGATTTCTGTATGAGAGCCATTCTAACAGGGGTGATGTGAAACCTTATTGTGGTTTTGATTTGCATTTTCCTGATGGCTAGTTTTAAAACAGTATAAAATATTATTAAAAATACTTTAGGGGCTGGCGCTGTGGCATAATGGGCAAAGCCACCGCCTGCAATGCCAACATCCCATATAGGTGCTGGTTCGTGTCCGGGCTGCTCCACTTCTGACTCTGCTCTCTGCTATGGCCTGGGAAAGCGGTAGATGATGGCCCAAGTGTTTGGGCTCCTGCACCAACATGGGAGACCCAGAAGAAACTCCCAGCTCTTGGCTTCAGATCAGCGTAGCTCTGGCCGTTGCAGCCAACTGGGAAGTGAACCAGTGGACAGAAGACCTCTCTCTCTCTCTCTCTCTCTGCCTCTCCTACTCTCTCTGTGCAACTTTGACTTTCAAATAAATAAATTTTTTCAAAAAATAGTAATATATGTCTTCAAAACAAAACTTTTTTTAAAAAAAGATTTATTTATTTGAAGGACAGAGTTACAGAGAGAGGTAGAGACAGAGAGTCAGTCTTCCATCCACCGGTTCACTCCCAAAATGGCTGCAACACTGAGAGCTGAGACAATCCAAAGCCAGGAGCCAGCTTCTTTTGGGTCTCCTCATGGGTGCAGGGGCCCAAGGACTTGGGCCATCCTCTGTTGCTTTCCCAGGTGCATTAGCAGGAAGCTGGTCAGAAGAGGAGCAGCAGGGATTCAAACTGGACCCCATAGAGGATGCTGGCCCTGTAGACCAGTGCTTTTAATCACCAGTGCCACAGTGCTAGCTGCCAAAACAAATCTTATTAATATCACAAATGAAACTAAATTTACAGACATCAGCATTGTGGTATAGTAGGGAAAGCTGCCACCTGTGGTGTTGCCATCCCATATGCACACTGGTTCATGTCCTGGCTGCTTCACTTCTCATTCAGCTCCCTGCTAATGTGCTTGGGAAAAGCAATGGAAAATGGCCAGTGTTTGAGCCCCTGCCACAAATGTGGAAGATCCTGGCTCTTGGCTTTGGCCTGGCCCACCCCTGGCCATTGCAGTCATCTGGGGAGCGACCCAGAGGATAGAAGATGCCTCTCTCTATCTCCTTCTCTTGGTAACTCTGACTTTCAAACAAGTAATTATGCAAATAAATAAATAAATTAGCATAAGTTATATTAATCTATTAACATGCTTCTCTAGTATGACAGGATTTATGCTACAGGTCTTAAGTTTATTGTGTCTAGTTCAACAACAACAAAACCTTAAAAGCAACTTCCTCTGAGATTTATTTTTATTGACATTTTATTGTGTGTATTTCAATAATCTAGAAACAAGGTACAAGTCATTTTAAATTTATTACTGAGAACAGCCGAAAGATCTCATGCTGAAATGATTCTATTAATGCTGCCATAATTTTCTGGTAACAACTTATGTAATTATACTTACAAGGTAAGACGATACTGCTAGTACTACAACAAATAACTATAAGGAGCTTGCATACTAAAAGAAAATGTCATCCATAAAGCATTAATAAAGGGAATTGCATTCTTTGAATGAAATTTCATATGTTTCCTTTGTACAGGTTTACAAATTAGTTATGAGAAAATACGTTAATGGCAACAGCATAAAATTTTGGAATGAAGACAATTTTGAATCCAATCTGAGCTTCTTGTGAGGAGCAATCATAGGTTAAGTCATTCAATCCTTCTGAACCCCACAAATTCATCAGGAAGAGTTTCCAGGCATGGAGGGTATTGTGAAACTTGGGCAGTGTATGTGCAGGTTTGTTTATCCATAAAGGCAGTCATGTTTGCACTGCAGTTATACTCTCCTGGGTCACAATTCACTGTATTACACTGAGTGAACACTTGTCAAGCCTCAGGAAATGGGACCTAGAATCTAAAAGTTAGTCTCAACAGGTAGCAACCAGAGAACTTCAGGGCTGTGAGGCAGGCATATTCTGCCATGTGAACTAGAGAAAGTTTGTTTGCAGAGAAAGAAAAGAAGAAAACACTCCAATGAGAGAGGCAACAAAACCTCTCCCTTCCTGAAGGCCAGCTTCATTCCTATCCATGGGTCCTGCAGCTACCTCTGTATTTCTGTATTATAGCAGATTCTACTATTTTTGCTCAGGCTAATCTGAGTTGGTTCTGTGGCTCAGAACCACAAAATCTAAATGGCTTTTACCTGGTATAAAATAGTTATGCAAAAAAACCTGAATTCCTTATATTTTAAAGAGTCCAGTCCACACTCAGTATAATGGATCAACTTCCTTGTGGGTCTAAGCTCCTGTCTGTTTTGTTTGAGAGTTATCTCTCTTGAAGAGAGTGTCTTAATTATGGTAGAAATTCAGCAAACAACTGATTTATGAATTAAATGAATGAATTCATGAAAACATCTGGAAAAGTAAACATTCAAAATTCAGTTTTTGTTTAAGTAAAAGGCTATATTTACTCATTCAGAAAATAGTTACTGAGCATCACTTATGTGCAAGGTACTGAGCTAAGTGCCAAATTGGGCAAGGACTGTTCAAAGACCCTAGAGTACCAGAAATGTAAGCTCCAGAAGTAAGTGTAACAGAAAATAAAGTCAGGTATTTCACTTGACTTTAAGGAGCTAATATCACCACCACAGTTTGGAGTGTAATATACTAAAAAAATACACCTCAGTTTAGAGACAATTCACTTGAGAAATTTCCCAATTCTACTTCTAGGCAACTGAACATAAGGTGTTTTCCAGAGAAGATTCTGTTTTCCAAAATGCTCCAGCTTAAAAATCCTTCATTCCCGGAAAAGACCTTTTACAAATTTCCTCCTTAAGGTCTACACAGGAAGGAATCAGACCAACACTTTTCTGTGCATTTTTGCCTCTTCACTTTGAAGCAGTCAAGATTAATGCCAAGAACACAAACTGAAGTCGAACAGAATTAAAATCTAAGCTGTAACCTTGAACGCACCTCTCTAAATCTCAGTTACCTCTCAAGTATAAAATCAAGATGCTCTTCCTTACTTTGTAACATTACCACTGGAGGTTAGAGATTACAATTATCAACCAGAAGGCACTCAGTTCCTGTCACACATAGTATCGTCACTGTTTCACTAGCATCTTAGCAAACACTGCACTTGGCACCAGAGACTCCCTTTCTCACTTTGGCTCAAGTGTGGACAAATATTAAATTCTTTTCCTCATTTCTCTGGACTGATAAAAGGAAGAATTATCAAAATATCTGTAAAAACTAAAAGAAATAAGTGTGCAAACACCATCATACAGCCATCTTTTGGAATTCTGTTTCTAAGATGATCTGGTATAGCTCAAATTTCTTTCCTAAGTGAGCTATCCTCTTACAACCTGATATAACTGTAAAAATAAGCTGAGAGTTCTGCTTCCAACAAGACAGCATGAGGAACTCTGCAGACCTGCTCCCCAATGAAGTGGTGAATACTGTGAAAGAAAATATGTTTCTGGAAATGGTCCTAAGTGTATACAGCAAATGAAGAAACATTTATTTAAGAAAATTTCCTAAAACTCAGTAGAAACAGAGATCGTGGTATGTGTTGGTGAAATGGTGCTGCCTTATCTGAGGTGCCAACTTAAGCCTCAGATGCCATCTTGGGCTCTGGTCCAGTTGCCATCTTGTACAATAAATTTGGCCTCTCCAGAATCCAGCCTAGCTTACTAGGAGTCAGGTGACCAAATGACCCAACCACAAGCGTCAACTCCACCCCTACTCTAACGGGAATTGCTGCTCCCACTTCCTTATCCCTGCAAGGTTACAGCAAGGCCTGCTTTCCCACTCAGGCCTTCTCTCTTTTTGCTCTCTCTCGCCTTTTCCCTCCAGCCTGTCATGTTTCTCCCCACCCAACAATAACTTTTCCCCTTAGTCTGGTTGTTTGGTGTGTTTTGTGATGGCCTTTCAGTGAGTGAAACAAAACTCATTCCATCCCTACCCCCTCACAGCTCACTGGGATGGAAATTCCACTCCAGATTAGAGTAATAAGATTAGAGTAACAGGCCCCTCCCCATCCATCTCCCAGTTGACGGTAATCTTTCCAGAAAAGACAGGGTATCATCCTAGCCCTAGGTATCTGTAGGTGAGGCTAAGTATTGGGATGGAGTTGCCAACTAGTGAACATAAAACTGAATGGGCCAGAGAAAAAGCCACAGAAAAGAACTGTCCACAATAGGCCGATCTATGCAGAAGCAAAGTGGATTACTGGTTGCTTAGGGTTGGCAAAGGCATGATGGGTCAAGGGAGCAACAAAAAAATGGTATGGGGCTTCTTTTTGAGGCGATAAAAATGTTTTAAAATTGACTGTGGTCTTGGTTCCACAGATCTGTGACCATACTAAAAACTATAGAATTATACACTTTAAATGGGTGAATTTTACATATATGACAAAACTGTTACTAAAAAATTAGCACACTATAAAGAAAAAACAATGTGCTTGGGTTCTTCCAGTTTCTGGGTTTTTTGCTGATTTACAAGCAGGATCTACCAAAGCAGTTTAAATGTTTTATATGACACACTCTGTTGTCTTAGATACCAAATCATTTTTTGGAAGAAAACAGTCTTCCAACTCAGTTGCTCTCTTTGTCCAATGAGCACAATGAGGAACTTAACAACACTTCCTAAAGACTCTTAAGACTGGAACTATTGTCAGGACTATTGGTAAGGACTGCTTGGGGAACTTGTTCATAATACACAGGTAACTTAAACTTCATGCCAGAAAGACTCAATCATAAGTTCACAACAGGGCCCAGAAAAATATAGGTTCACAACAGGGCCCAGAAAAATACAGAAGTAATTTTAAAAGTATCCCAAATCATATGAATATCCATTCAGATTTGGTGACCACTCACAGCACAAACAGGCCCACATATATCCCCTTATGATTTACTTGAGCTGCCTTCCTTTCTACAACTCTGAGGAATCAGGGGGGTTAATAGACAGTCAATGGAAATTGGGGTGCATTTCCTTAGGAACCTCCCAATTTTACCAAGAGAATAGCAAGGGAGTGGTGATTCCATCCTTCTGAGCTCACAGGTTACCTATCCCACCCTTCTGGGTGGCTTTTTTGTTTTATCATGAGCAAGCCACACAGGTTGAAAGATTACAAATCAGGTATGTTGATGGGTTTTGTCCCCACCTTGTAAATGAGTCAATCTGATTGTCAGGTTTTTTTTTTCCTTTTTTTCCCCCAAAAATTATGCTTAAAAACCCCACTGCCACCTACTATTTAGGGTTTCTTCCTCTCCTGGAAGCCTCCCACCCAAGCCACTCTGGCTGGAGGTCTCTGACTCTAATGAATCATGCTTTTAAATCTCTGAAAGAACCGAGGCAATAATATTCTCTCTGCTGATGTTTCACCTGTAACATCTCTAGCCCAGACACTAGTGATTTTTCAAAAATCAAATTGACCTTTTACACATTTTTTTTCTGAACATATCTTAATTATGCAATAATTATAATACATTCACAATAGATACACACACTATTCCTCCTATACCAAAAAGTACAAAGACTGTGGACAGGGCTTGTTTTTTTAAAAAGCTTCTTTTCCTCTGGTAGAAGACACTGTTTGGCTGATAGGTTTTTTTAAAAAATGCTGATTTCTCAGATGACTTTTTAGTTTTTCATGCGTTAAAGCGTTTTCCTATAGGCAAAGTTTTAAAAATTAAGCTATTAAGCTAAGAAAGAAATTCACTTCGGGACACATTACAAATGTAAGGTAAATAAAAATAGAAGATTATCATCACAATAATAATGGGAAGATACTAAATCAATTGATATAGACTTAGGTTAAACAAGTTATAGTCTACCCATAAGGCATTCCATTGGCTTATAATCAGTTTTCTTGTTTCTAATAAGAAAATCTTCTTTGTATGACAGATTTATTAAAAACTGGGATAGAATCTTCTGAGGATGTAGAAACATCTTCTCTTCACATATTATAAAAAGTCAGAGTGTCAGTTTGAGATGGCTGGTTCCAATCATGCCTATAATAGTAAAACGTCTTAATGACCTTTTACATATCATTCTTTCTTTTGTGTGTTATGATCATTCAATGATAGTTGTTAACTCAGAACAACCATTTGAATGTGTAAGAACTTCAATTAGGAAACACTTTAATGTTTAAAAAAATGGGCAAACACAACTGAAATTTTTTACTCTATACATCTGCCATCAAAGGAGAATAGTGTACAATGGTTAACAGCTCACTGGAAACAAGCTTATGGTGGTGAACTGTGATTTTGAGAGGCAAACAGGAAGGAAGATAATGCCCAACAAAGAACTCAATCATACCCTGACTGCATCCATAACATTTATGGAAATGGTGGGAAATGTTCTACTGTAAAATGTCTTTTTGTATTGTATAGAAACAGAAGAGAGACCTGTAGGAGAAGAAGCCAGTTTAGTTATGGTGATTTCATGGATATAAAAAAAGGCAACAATTCTAAAAAAATCAACAAGTAAACAGGCACTTATACCAATCAACAACGATTATCATCTTGACAGCTGAAAAAAATAGTATCTAAATATGCATGTTTACAGCACTTGATTCAATTTCCAAATCAGCACGTACTTTTAGGTGAAGAATTATTTTTTTCTATATTCAAGAACAAATACAATAGAAGTAATAGAACATTGATTTCTCAACTTCTAAAGCTGTGAATCTATAAAGTTGCCAGCGGGCTATACTTGGTAAGATTTTATTTAACTTCTGGTGTGAGGTGGTAAAAACCATAGCTATATTTCATTCATGGCATATAATTAGAAAATAATACCTTACTTTTAATTGCCTATAAACTAGACATCAAAAGCACCTAGTGTAGGGTTTTATTTTTCCCTTTTGGGATTAAATTTAAACAGAATAGCTTGCTTGTATCCATGACAATGTAGTACTCCAATCAACCAAAGAAACTATGAACAAATTTGATCAACTCAACAGTTTGCAAAGATATAAAGAGGCAGTGGGACCTGAAATTCTAATACTAAGTTACCTCTGCCTACTAAATACTGGAAAATGGAACAACGTCCCAGCATTATAGAGGAAAAAAAGCATCCAAACTATACAATAGCAGTGAAATTTATAATAAATTTAATACTGTGGTGATATGTTGTTTTCATATTCTTTACCACTAAGGCACCCACATATAATGGGAAGAGGAGAGGGATTTAGATTTAGATCTGAAATGAAATTCCAATTCTGACAATTACTACCTACATAATTTTGAAAAAACTTTCTCCAAGCCTGAATTTCAGCATGTGTAAATGGGATTAGCTACACTTATCTGATAAAGTGCTAAGAACTGAGTAAGATGGCATGAAAACTGATCAATGAATGTTAGTCCCTCACCTATGGCAAACAAGGCTATGAGCTTTCTATATGTTTTGTCATATTATCTAATTTATCTTTTCTCTTTCTCTCTCAGGCAGCAAACTAAATATAAATATATCTAATCAATGTTTGATGAACAAATTAGCCCAAGTTTAGTTCAAAATAAAAAAATAATAAAAAAAACCTCTGCTGACTCTGATTATATAGTATTTTTGTGATATCTGGCTTAAATTTGAAAACGGTGCTATATCATATGGAAAGCACAACATAAGTTACATTGGTATAAGTTTGGCCAACCTTTCTGTGCAAATAAGGAAATACATGGCTGCTTTAAAGTATTAGTAACTGAAGGAAACTGCTCTCTTATTAGGTTGCTCAGCTTGACATTATGTCCACTAATTATTCCAATTAACTGGGTTGCAAAGTAACAATATTTTTTCAACCCAAAGTGTTCTTTTTAGGGGCTAGCATTGTAGCGTAACAGGTAAGCCACTGCCTGGCATCCCACATGGGCACTGATTCAAGTCCTGGCTGCTCCACTTTCAGTTCAGTTCTCTGCTAATACAAGTGGGAAAGCAGAGGAAGACTTGGGCCCTGCACCTGCATGGGAAACCTGGATGAAGCTTCTGGCTCCTGGCTTTGGCTTGGCCACTCTAGGTCACTGCAGCCACTTGGGGAATGAACCAGCGGATGGAGGATATCTCTATTTTTCTGTCTGTAATACTCCAATTCAAATAAATAAAATAAATCATTTAAAAAAATGTTCTTTTTAGAATTTTCAGGGCTAGGCAAATAATTAGTGTTCAGTTTTAAAATCAGGAAATATTTTTAGGTTTTTCAAAAAAGTCATCATAAACCACTAAATACAAACAAAACCTAAGTTTTCAATTGTGAGGGGCTAATAAATGAGTTTATACAAATTGAGGAAAAACTTTCTCATTATGTAAGTCACTCAACTCCATCTTTGCAATATCTCCATTTATCTCTGTGCCTCCTACTGAGTTTCTTGAGAAGACTATGGAAGCTCTTCTACAGATCTGGAGTATAGCAAAGTGGTTGACACATTATATACCCTACAAAATTTGTGGAACAAAAATATTTTCATTCTTTTATTCATTTATCAGATTTTTACTGAGCCTCCATGTATGTGTGAGCCACTGTTTGTGGTACTGGTGACTCACCAGGGAATAAACCCTTGTCCATTCCGGAAGAGTTGGAGAAAATGGAAAACCAATATAACATCAGATGCTGTTTTACAAATTGTTGTTGGAGTGGATGTTTGGTAGATTGTCTGATGTGAGTCCTGGCTTTTCCACTTCCAATGCAGCTTCCTGCCAGTGCATTCCCCAAGATACAGTAAATGCTTGCACAAGAACTTGGGCCCTTTCCATCCACATGGGACACCTAGACTGAATTCTGGGTTCCTGGACATGGTTTGGCAAAGCCCTGGTTGTTTTGGGCATTTGGAGAATGAACCAGAAAATGGAGGACTTTTCCTGCTCTATCTCTCTTTCAAATAAAATGAACATAATTTTAAAAATATTTTAAATTGCTACTTATAAAGTGATATTAAAGAAGCTAAGAGTGTGGTCATGGAGTTTTCCTACAGGAGGAGTTGGAGAAGAACATTCTAGGCAAAAGTATTATTAAGTGCCTCAAGGTATATGCTGTGCTCCAACACCACAAGAATGCAGCTAGCCTACAAGTTAGTAAGGCAGAGACATGAGAGGTGATGTTGAAAATAACCTGAGATGGATCATACAGGGATATTTGTCTTTGTATTTTATTCTTTTTTAGTGTTAATCATATTTTTTATTTAAAAAAAGTTTTAAGGTAAACAAATTTCATGTACTTCATATATACAGATATAGGAGCATAGTAATACTTCTTATCCTATCCTCCCTCCCCATACTCTCACCCCTCCTCCTCCTTCCTTTCCCATTGCTGCATTTAATTTTCACATTGATCTACTCTATTTTATACTCCTAAGAGTAACTCTATACTAAGTAAAGAATTCAACAACTAGTAAGAGAAAAACACTGTTCATCAATGGTACAGACAAGGGTTGTAAACAATCATTGAGTCTCAAAATGTCAATTTTACTCCTATACATTACATTTTTTGATACTCTATTAGTTACCATAGATCAGGGAAAACATATAGTATTTGTCTTCTGGGACCGGCTTATTTCACTAAGTACAATGGTTTACAGTTGCCATTTTTTTTCCAATGGCTGAGTAATATTCCTACACACACACACACACACACACACACACATATATATATATATATTAATCTCATAATTTCTTTATCCAGTCATCAGTTGATGGATATCTAAGTTGATTCCATATCTTAGCTATTGTGAATAGAGCTGCAATAAACATACGGGGGTAATTTCATATGTGATTTCATTTCATTTGGATAAATTCGCAGGAGTGGGATGGCTGGGTCATATGGTAAGTCTATTTTCAGCTTTCTGAGGTATCTCCACAATGTCTATACTAGTTTGCATTCCCACCAACAGTGGATTAGGGTACCTCTTCCCCCATATCCTCACCAGCATTTACTGTTTATTGAATTCTGTATTAGAGCCATTCTAACTGGGGTGAGATGAAACCTCATTATGGTTTTTATTTGCATTTCCCTGATGGCTAGTGATGCTGAGTATTTGTTCATGTGTCTTTTGGCCACTTTAATTTCTTCTTTTGAAAAATGCCTATTCAAGTCCTTTGCCTATTTCTTAACTGGATTGTTTGTTTTGTTGTAGCTGAGTTTCTTGAGCTCTTTATAGATTCTGGATATTAATCTTTTACCGGTTGCACAGTTTCTAAGCATTTTCTCCCATTCTATTGGCTGGCTCCTTCATTTTGCTGAGCATTTCCTTTGCAGTGCAGAAGCTTCTTTGCTTGATAAAACCCCATCTTTCTATTTTTGCTTTGATTGCCCGTGCTAGAGTGATGGGAAACCTCTGGAAAAATTTGGCTGATAAACTTTTAGTTTCTTTATATCCTAATTCTAATGTTACTTTTGAAATAAAAACAAAAAAATGGTGAATGATTTGCATGTCCTAAGTATAAACAGTCTAGTTTGATTGTCCTTTGGCTATATTAAGTGACTAGTTTAATCAAAGGCCAGTCTGTTTCAACAAATGTGCGGGCCTGATGGATTGATTTCATAAGTTGCAACCTTTATTTTGTGTTTGCTGACAAAACTTCAGTTGTTCTACAAGTACATTATAATGAGTAGATTATTGGGTTCTGTCAGTCATTATTATCTGACTTATCATAGACCATGACAAAAGGAATTTCTATTTCATTTGGTAACATTGTCCAACAAGAAAACATAATAAAATTAACTCAGTTCAAATTAAGAATAATCAACAATTAACTCTGGCACAGAAACTTTGGTAATAAGACTTGTAATATTTTTATCACTTATGAAGGTAGTTCAAAAGGTTCATGGAAAATGTAACTAAAATGTAATCTTATGTTGATGCACAAAAATTCATGAATAGTTTTTTAATTTGAATTTTGCATGAAATTTTTGAAACCCCTTTTACAATTTTTTGCACCAAGATAAACATCTTTTATTTCATTTTCCAAGATACTTTTGAATTACCCTTGTACTACTGCTCATAGTAGTTTGTATTTTTAGATATCTGTATTAGTTGAAATGTGTTTTTTTCTACTACTTGTGGAGGAATCTTAATGCAATTTACTGTCATACATTAACAAGTATACAGTCATATGTAAATATGTCATGACTATATAAATGAACATGTATTAGAGAATGTAGTTATATGCCATCTGATTCTCTGAGGTAAAAACAAATATTTAATTAAAATGTTAGTCTTATAATACAGAAGAAAGTAACATACAGAGTTAGTAAGGGGAGTAAAGTTAAAGGGATAGTGATCAATTCCACCTACAATTAGAGATCTTTCTAGATTTCATAGTAATAATGCTTCTGTAGAATCTGGAAACTGATTGTCAGATGGGTATTCCAAGAACACAGGAACATTTTGGGAAGCTACAAACACTGAAACTTACTGAAGTAATACATATGCATATACATACATCCTTACTTATGAATGGTGTATATGTCAAGAGAGTAGGAAGGAACTATAAAATCAACTGATGGGAATGCCAGGGTTTTAATTTACAGATAATAAAGAGGTAACAGATTATTTCTATATTTTAGGAGCTTCACCTCTGCACAATGGGTGCAGAGGACGCCTAATTGGAAGATAGAGAAAAACAGTTAGGTTAGGCAGTATCAGTGGGGATACACCAGGGGGGGGACAAAGAAATGCTTGCTGGAAACCAATATTTATGAGATGTGGAAGAGAAATGGGGTTTATTATATAACTCTAAAGAGAATTGTATAGCAGAATGGAGTGAGTAGAAGAAGAACAGAATAGGGCTTTGAGTATGTTTCCAAATGGAAATAATATATAAAGATCAAATAATGTGTGAACTACAATCAGTCCACTATTTCTTACTAAATCACTGATGATCTTAACCAAATGTACATTCAATTAAACAGAGTGAAAGACAAGGCAAAGAGAACAATTTTCATAATTGCTTGAAGAAATGATTTACCAAATAGCATTTATTGATCTTGTCATACAAATACATACATACTTCAGTATTTATGGGTTATGTCATATTAAGAATAAATCAGCATATATCTAAATCAAAATTAATATATAAAATATTCCTCACCTGAATTTCTACAATCATTCTGTCAATCTCATCTTGTTGGCTGTCTATTATCTAAAAGCAGGAAATAAATTGGTCTGAATCAATTCATTTTTCCAGTGCTTTTTAAAAGCATCATTATTTTAAGAAAACAAAGAGAAGTACAAGTGATTATAAATTTATTTATTAAAAAAAGGTTTGGTTCCTTTTCTTCTACAAATGTATTCATTTCAAGTATTCCTTATATAGAAATATGATTTGAATTACACATACACAAAACTATACAAGATTTCTCCATGCAATTTAAAAAAATACACTTTGAGACTGAATAATATACAGAGAAAAAAGATATCCTTTGCTTTGGCTTTTATTGAAATTATTTTAAATTGTTTAAATTGCTATTTTCTATTCAGATAAAAACATTCAAACACTCCATAAGCTATTAAACAGCAAAAATATAAATCAGATGAATTTCTATCTATACACACTTATCCAGACAGTGCAAATTTCATTTTTATTATCAAAGATATCTACTGACCTTACTAGCAGTCTCATTTTGTTCTCTGAGATTATCATTTTCACTCTGAAGCTGCTTTGCATCTAGCATGGGAAGGCGGATTCCATCTTCAAGGCATCTTTCTACTTTTTGCTGTAAACTGTTTCAGAAAGAAACAAGCATATGAATAAAATAAGCTGTATTCGCTGATTTTGGTAGATGATTTTGACATAACCAATATTCTTTAAAGTCTATAATATTTTTTAATCAGGCAATAATCAAGACCCACAGAGTATATGAATAAATGTATCTATATTTTACAGGAGTTAGAAGGACCTATAATTAGATACAGACCCATCATGTTTTCAAAAACAGCAAATCTGAGACCAGAGTCCAGATCTGCTGAGTCTGTGACATGCTTGGGTTTCAGTGGAGTTCTTCATATCCCAAATCTGAGGTTATCTATAACCTAACTTCTACTCTTTTTCTCTCTAAGATGACTGTGGTAGGAAGCCCGAGATTATGGATACATGCCTTTTGCTCTTTATTCTAAACTCAGCAAATGTTGGTTTGTAAGGACCAGCAGAGTTACATTTCTCCCATAAGAGCAGCAATCTACTATGTTTATAACTTGGCCTAACAGTTTCTTATGCTAATCAAGGCAAAAAATTGAACTTTAGAAGAAGGAACAACAAAAGGAAGCCCTTCTGGTACATTGAAAATAAAAAGGTTAAGGGGAGAAAAAAGACTTGAGAAAAGAATACGTAACATCTGTGTTAAGAGAAACATCATTAGAACAGGAACATCACTAAAATCTTCTTTTTTTTTAATTTTTTAAACTTTTATTTAGTAAATATAGTTTTCCAAGTACAGTTTATGGATTACAATGGCTCCCCCCCCCATAACTTCCCTCCCACCCGCAACCCTCCCATCTCCCGCTCCCTCTCAATTATCTTTATATACAGAAGATCGATTTAGTATATATTAAGTAAAGATTTCATCAGTTTGCACCCACACAGAACATAAAGTGTAAAATACTGTTTCAGTACTAGTTGTAGCATTACTTCACACTGGACAACACATTAAGGACAGAGATCCCACATGAGGTGTAAGTACACAGTGACTCCTGTTGTTGACTTAACAATTTGACACTCTTGTTTACGGTGTCAGAAATCTCCCTAGGCTCTAGTCATGAGTTTCCAAGGCTATGGAAGCCTTTTGAGTTCGCCGACTTCGATCTTATTTAGACAAGGTCATAGTCAAAGTGGAAGTTCTCTCCTCCCTTCAGAGAAAGGTACCTCCTTCTTTGATGGCCTGTTCTTTCTACTGGGATCTCACTTGCAGAGATCTTTCATACAGGTGTTTGGTTTTGTTTTTTGTTTTTTGTTTTTGTTTGTTTGTTTGTTTGTTTTGCCAGAGTGTCTTGGCTTTCCACGCCTAAAATACTCTCATGGGCTCTTCAGCCAGATCCGAGTGCCTTAAGGGTTGATTCTGAGGCCAGAGTGCTGTTTAGGACATCTACCATTCTATGAGTCTTCTGTGTATCCCACTTCCCATGTTGCATTGTTCTTTAGAACAGTTCTGTCACTGATAAAAACTATACTTTGAGAACAGCAGAGTACTAAGTGATAGACTTATAATTTGGCTTGTGATATTTTCATTGTTTTTCTTCAAGTATTATGGCTCTTCTATACTTTCTCTCTTCCAAAAAAAAAAAAAAAAAGGAGAAATGTCATATGTAAATTAAAGACAAAGAAGTGACAATCCTAGATGTGCAGTAAGGACTTCAAATGTGTTTATGAGAACGACACCAGAGACCTGTTATGTAATACCCACCCATTCCCGGCCATTATGGCTATTTGGGGAGTGAATCAGCAGATGGAAGATCTCTCTCTCTCTTTCTCTTTCTCTCTCTCTCTCTCGTGTGTGTGTGTGTGTGTGTGTGTGTCCTCTCTCTGTAAAAGTCCACATTCCATATCAGAGTGACTGGGTTCAATTCTCAGCTCTGGCTCCTGACTCCAGCCTCCTGCCAGTGCAAGCCCTGGATGGCAGTAATGATGGCCCAAGTAACTGGGTTCCTGTTACCCATAAGGGAGAACTAGATTGGGTTCCTAGCTACCCATTTCAGCCCTGGCCATCCTGGGTATCTGGGGAGTGAATCAATGAATATGAGCTCTTTCTCAATTTATCTGTCTCTTTCTCTGTCTCTCAAATATGAAAACATAAAAAATTACTAAAGTATATTAACTTAAGAAGAAAAGCAAGCCATTTACAAAGAGAGGAAAATGTACTCTCTCATGGGAAAACAACAAATGAGTTTTCTTTCATGTCTAAGTCTTCAGATTATGTAGCAATAAATCTCTTGAATAGCAGAAGTAGCTACTATTACAATACTAGGGATCCTACCCACATATTTCACTTTAATTTTTACTTCTAATGGAAAGTTGTATAAATTCCCAATAATCCTAAATATTCACAAAACAGGAAGCCTAGAAATATTATACAAAACAGATAAATGTAATGATAGAATTCATAGCCACATACACATCTTAAGTTCTTTTGGGACTCAAGGGATATAGAGCTGAGGTAATTAAGATAACATCCCCATCACCTAAGATTAAGTGACAACAGGGCCAAACAAGTTCTGAAGAATTATAACTCCTTTGGTCTTTAATACCTATCTGAAATCAAAAGAAATTTACTAGGGTATATCACCTGGGAAAGCATCAATGCAAAGTTTAAAAACAGAAATTTTGGGGCCGGCGCCGCGGCTCACTAGGCTAATCCTCCGCCTAGCGGCGCCGGCACACCGGGTTCTAGTCCCGGTTGGGGCGCCGGATTCTGTCCTGGTTGCCCCTCTTCCAGGCCAGCTCTCTGCTGTGGCCCGGGAGTGCAGTGGAGGATGGCCCAGGTGCTTGGGCCCTGCACCCCATGGGAGACCAGGAAAAGCACTTGGCTCCTGGCTCCTGCCATCGGATCAGCGCGGTGCGCCGGTCGCAGTGCGCCGGCCGCGGCGGCCATTGGAGGGTGAACCAACGGCAAAGGAAGACCTTTCTCTCTGTCTCTCACAGTCCACTCTGCCTGTCAAAAAAAAAAAAAAAAAAAAAGTTTAAAAAAAAAAAACAGAAATTTTGGAAGGCCAGCATTGTGGTGCAGAGGGTTAAGCCACAGCCATTAACAATACTTGTACCTATATGAGTGCTAGTTCAGGTCCTGGCTGCTCCACTTCCAGTGAAGCTCCCTGCTAATGTGCCTGAGAAAGCACAGAACACAGCCCATTTATCTGGGTCCCTGTCACTCTTGTGGGAGACCCAGATCTGGTTCTGGGCTCCTGGATTTGGCCTGGCCAGCTTAGCCCCAGCAATTACAGACATTTAGGGAGTGAACCAGATATAAGATCTGTCTCTTCAACTCTCTTTAACTCTGGCTTTCAATTAAATAAAATGAGTCTTTTAAAAAAATGGAATTGTTTTTTTGAAATGCACTATACTAAATTTTTCCAAATCAAGATTACTCAGTGTTCTTGAAAAACCATGTAAGAGAAAAATCTAATAAAAGAGAAGGTATTGCCAATTCTGTTCTTACAACACAGATTAAATTTACTATCATAATGCTATGGTTTCATCTTATCAATAAAGATGAAAGAAAAAGCTGTATGTCCAATTAGTGAGGATCAGGAATCTTTTTTGAGGCTAAAGAATAAGTATAATGGGGTAGGCTTGGAATGCCCATATCCCATATCAAAGTTCCTGCATTCAAGTTTTGGCTTCACTTCCAATTTCAGCTTCTTGCTGATGCACACTCTGGAAGGCAGCAGATGACAGCTAAAGCTGGGTCCTTGCTACCCACATGGGAGACCCAGATGGGTCTGGGCTCCTGGCTTTCACTTGGCTCCTGGCTATTGTGGGCATTTGGATAATCAACCTGCAGATGAAAGATTAAAGATCTTTGTGTTCGGGACGGCGCTGTGGCACAGCGGGTTAACACCCTGGCCTGAAGCGCCGCATGGGCTCCGGTTCTAGTCCCGGCTGCTCCTCCTCCGATCCAGCTCTCTACTATGGCCTGGGATAGCAGTAGAAGATGACCTTTCTGTCTGCCTCTCTGTCTCTCTCCTCTGTTTTTTTTCCACCCCCAGTCCCAATCAAAAAAAAAAAAAAAAAAAGATAGGTAAAACATGTGGAGTTATAAAAAAAATTAAAGTGCAGGAAAGCAGAATAAAGGAGAAAAATATAGAATGACAAGTGCACAATTTTTTTAGAGCTGAAATTAGGAGCATTAAAGACTGAGCTGTCCCAGAAATCAGATATTTTTTGCATTGAAATCCAAGAAAAAAAAAAAACAGATCAGGCATATTTAGACTTCGACAGTACAACTAGAGCAATATTAACACTGGTTTTTATCTAAAAGCTGAATATACAATGAGTTATTTCTTATATTTAGTTTTTTGTTGCCAAATTCTTCAAGATAGTTTCATCTATTTATAGAAACTAAGGTTTAAGTTTTACAAAAGACAGAATATGTTTATGCATACTTCATATAATAGAGCTCTCTAGGTGTTTCATGAATCCAGTATTAATTTCCAAGCCTAAATACACAAACTGAATATACTAACAAATGACATTAACTGTAATTCTAACTGGTTAAATTTAAAAAGGCATCCCATGAAGCAAAATATGTAATTAAGTTTAGAAGAGCAGGGCTGCCATAGCTGTTACTTACAGTAAGATGAAATGGGAGCCAATTACTCATTTTGATGTATCATATTAGGGAGTGCAGTTTGAGTATTTTGCTGGCTTCATTTTTGTTATTTAGAATTTTACTTCCTTTTTGACAAAGCCCATCAGATAAAGGGTTTATGTTAACATTTTTAGTCTTCAATTATTATATATATTTTTTACTCTTCTCATCTAAACCTTTGTCAGTATGTTACTTTGAAATGTTAAATCACAACTGGGACAATCTGTTTCAATGAAATTATATGTTTGGTTAATAATACCGTTTTAAGATAAGATTAAAAACTAACATTTTAAGTGAAATGCTTTATGAAAAATATAACTGAAAAAAATGGAAAAGGATTCTGAAAGTTTTCTTACCTCTGAACAGTAGTTACTAACTCCTTTTCTTTCTTTTTCTGGCATATTAACTGTGCCTCTTTATCCTGACATTGTTTTTGGATCTCTTCAAGCTTTTTTTCTGTCTCGATCAAAGTCTCTTGCAAATTCTTATTTTTTTCTTCTAGAATCTGCAGCTAAGAGGGAATTTTTTATAGTTCATAACACATGGAATATTACTATGTTTCTATTAGAAATTGTTATCATTTTCAAGGATTAACAGTCTAATAGCTAAAATAACAATGTCTCCTTTTCCTCTAGAGTCCATAACACTCTACCTCCTTTATGTGGTACAGATTTGGGGGAATGGAATTAAAAAGAAGACAATCGGGTTAAAAATTTCTAAAAGACAGAAAGAGGTTAGTGGGCTCCTTTTAAATTTTTCAAAGGATATTTTAACTGTGCTTATATAAATATATATATATATGTATCAAATAAAATTTATCATTTTAACCATTCTAAGTATACAATTCACCAGTGTTAAGCACATTCACATTAATGTGTAACCAATCTCCAGAACTCTTCATCTTGCATAATCCAATATATACCCACTAAACACTTCTCACTCCATCCCCTGGCAAATATCTTGTAATTTCTGTCTCTATAATTTGACTACTTTCAGTATCTCATATAAGTGGAGTCATACTTATTTGTCTTTTTGTGACTGGCTTATTTTACTTAGTGAAATATCCTTCAGGTTAATTTAAGTAGTAGCATATGTCAAAATTTTCTTCCATTTAAGGGTAAATAACATTTCATTGTATGTATATCCACCTTTTGTTGACCCATGCATTCATCTATAGAAACTTGGACTGCTTACTCCTTTTGGCTGTTGTGAATAATGACATTATAAACATGGTTGTAAAAACATTTGTTAAAGATCCTTAATGCTAGATATTCCAATGAGTATAAGGAGGTATGATGTCATTTTTTAAAAGACTTATTTATTTAAAAGGCAGAGTGAAAGAGAGAGAAGGACAGAGAGTACAAGAAAGATTAATCTACCATTTTGCTGGTTCACTCTAGATAGCCACGATAGCCAGGGCTGGGCTAGCGTGAAACCAGGAGTCAGAAACTCCATCTTGGTCTCCCAATAAGGGTGGCAGGGACCCAAGTACTTGGGCCATCTGCTGCTGCCTTCCCAGGTACACTAGCAGGAAGCTGTATCAGAAGCACAGTAGCTGGCGCTTGAATCAGGACTCCAATATGGGACGCTGGCATCAAAGGAAGCAAATTAACCTGCTATGTTGCAACACTGGCCACTGATGTCATGTTTTAAAATCTACACTGTTCTCTGGTCTGCTCACGCAAATTTTTGTGGTCTTTAAATTTCTTTCTGATTTTAACTTCCATTACTTTCATGTCTTATAAATTAATATAAAGTAATCAAAAATGTTATGTAGGTCTTAGAGTATGCTGAATAATGATACTACATGGATTAAACCAATAATTCTCAACTAAAGGTGATTTCTCCACATGGGGCATTTGGAAATGTCTATCAACATTTTTGGTTTGGGAGAGAGATGGGGCGGTGCCATTGGTTTCTAGTATGTACAGGCCAGAAACGCTGATGTGAAATTGATGTATATCAATCAATGCATAGAGCAGAACTCAAGCAAAAAAATTTCTACCCCTTTCTACCCCCAGGGCCACTGTTGTGGCATGGTGGGTAAAGCCACCACCTGCAATGCCGGCATCCCATGTGGGCACTGGTTCATGTCTCAGCTGCTCCACTTGCAATCACCTCTCTGCTGATGGCCTGGAAAAAACAGTGTAGGATGGCCCAAGTGTCTGTACCTCTACCACCCACATGGGAGATTGAGAAAAGGCTACTGGCTCCTGACTTTGGCCTGGCCCAGCACCGGCCCTTGCAGCCTTCTGGGAAGTAAACCAGTAGATAGAAAATCTCTCTATATCTCTCTCCTTCTCTTGCTGTAACTTTGACTTTCAAGTAAATAAATAAATCTTTAAAAAACAAAATTTTCTTCTCCCCAAAATGTCAATAGTGCTGATACTGGGAATTTGGGGATAATAAATAGGGGCCAGAGCTGTGGAGTAGGAAGGGAAGCCGCTGCTTGCAGTGCCAGCATCCCATATAGGCACTGGTTCATGTCCTGGCTGCTTCACTTCCAATCCAGCTCTCTGCTAAGGCCTGGGAAAGCAGTGGAAGATGGCCCAAATCCTTGGGCACCTGTACCCGCATGGGAGACCCTGAAGAAGCTCCTGGCTCCTGACTTCGGATCGGCATAGCTCTGGCTGTTATGGCCATCTGGGGAGTGAACCAGTGGATGGAGGATGTCTCCCTCTCTCTTTCTCTCCTTCTCTCTCTCTTTCTGCTTCTGCCTTTCTGTAAGTCTACCTTCAAACAAATAAATAAATAAATCTTAAAAAAAAGACTGAAAAGTAGATTTAATGGATTTATAAATAAGGTTCCAAGAGGGGATACCTCACCAGAGTTTGTAGAAATACTTTGCATTAGATATTGCTAAGAAAGGGAAGCAGTCCTAAGAAGAAGTCAGAAGAGTACATGAAGGTCACAATCAGGGTATGAGAAATAATTTACAGCAAAATTAAGAAGAATGAAGAAATCAAGTATCTAGAAAGATAGCCAAGAAAAGGTCTTACAGAGCTTTGGTGAATCCAATGAATCTTGAGGAAAGTAGGAGAACATGTGTGGTATGAGGGGCGTGGTTTATCAGACTGGTTTAGAAACTACTTTCAGAGTAGAATACAAAGCAAGAGACTCACCACATAGGTTCATTAGAAAAGTAACCACATATTAACTGACAACAAGAAAGATCTGGTCATACTTAGATGAACAAAATTTCTGATTAATGTTAAATTTTTAAAATGGCAATAACATATATACTTCATAATGAGCCAAATTCAAAAGGACTATCATGTCAAAATGAGCATTTTTATTTCATGTTACCTGTAGACTTTGACTCTGAACATCATCCAGAGTTGGAAGATCAGCCAGATATTTTTCCAACGTCTCAATTCTTCTCTGTTTTTCTTTGTTTTGTTCAGCTTCCTTCTGACACTTCTTTTTCAGGCTACTGATGTATCTGTCTCTGGTTTTAAGCTAAAGAAAAAGACTATGAATCTTCAGTAGTCTTGAGTCATTTAATAAAAATGACAAAACGAACATTTCAATCATAGGCTTAACTGAATTTACCTACAGTTCCAGGTTACAGTGAAGACCAGCACCACGTTAATTATGGTTTACCTTATTTAATTCTAAGATTCACATGTTTTCAAATTTTCATATCAAGAGCTCTGGGTTGGCTGGCGCCACGGCTCACTAGGCTAATTCTCTGCCTTGTGGTGCTGGCACACCGGGTTCTAGTCCCGGTTGCCCCTCTTCCAGGCCAGCTCTCTGCTGTGGCCAGGGAGTGCAGTGGAGGATGGCCCAAGTGCTTGGGCCCTGCACCCCATGGGAGACCAGGATAAGTACCTGGCTCCTGCCTTCGGATCAGCGTGGTGTGCCAGCCGCAGCGCGACGGCTGTGGCGGCCATTGGAGGGTGAACCAACAGCAAAGGAAGACCTTTCTCTCTCTCTCTCTCTCTCTCTCACTGTCCACTCTGCCTGTCAAAAAAAAAAAAAAAAAAAAAAAAAAAAAGAGCTTTGGGTCTATATTATTATTGCTACATTACTGTTGCCTTCACATGCGCAAATTTGGTCAAGGCTGCTCATATTCAACAGTCATTTCAATAGTGTTATATACATGTTGAAACTCTGTGTTAGATTTAAAATGGTGCTTAAAATAACTGCAAAAATATCACATTATAACCTGGCATAGAAAATACTATTGGGTACCCACAAAGGTACAGAAGGTATATCCAAATAATTTATATGAACTAAAAAAGATAGATATTTACATGTAAATAAAGCTGTTGTGTTACTAAAATACTTGCAAAATAATTGTTTAGACTTGTACTAAGTAAACAATGCAACAAAAGCCAGAACTTACCAAATATTTAACAACAGACTAAAGACAGGTACAATCAATTCATACCTCGAGAAGGACTACAGTTAAGGTACTGTGTCATACTGGAATTTATTTTCTTTCTAAAAATCATCAAACTAAGGAACCTGGCCATTTATGCCATTTTAACATCAATGAATTAGGCTAATGGAACATCTACTACAGAACATTAATGGCACATGACATTAGTAAATCTCAATTGGTATAGGCTAAATCTCCAAATTTTATGTACGAATTTTCTTCACCTTACCAGCTGAAATATACCATCTTTAAATGTCACATCCCATTTTCCAAGTTCTTTCACACTTATCATCTTTATTATCAGTTAAAAATAAAGTATATAAAAATAGCTGCTTAAAATATAAACCCTAGATTCATATTTACCTTAAATTACCTATCTGCCAAACATTTACTTTTTAAGAAACTTAAAGGTTCTAAAACGTCTTTACAACCTTTCCCCTTGCTCACCAGGGAAATTAAACGGCAGTAATTAATGGCATAATGGATTACTCTTTCAAATTTTATTAACGTTAACACTTGTCCACAGTCTAGTTTCTTTCATACCTTATCTAATTTATTTCAGGTCTAATGCATAACAAATGTTATTAAACCAACTTCAATTGGAAAAATTAGTCACATTTCATCTATGACACTAAGATCCATTTGTTTCTTTAGGTAAAAAGCAAGCCTGGTAAAACTGACAAATCATATTATTTACTGGAGCTTTCTTAGGATTAAAGGTGAGTATGCTTGTGCGACAGCTTAATCTGTGACCTACCAGAATGGATAAACACAGAAGGCTGGCACCGGTATTGTCCTGAAAGACCATATAATACAATTCCTTTTTAAAATACGAGACCCAGAGATCTTATGTGACTTAAGAGTCACAGGATCAGACTTGGGATTTTTTTTTTATTTTTTTTTTAACTTTTATTTAATGAATATAAATTTCCAAAGTACAGCTTATGGATTACAATGGCTTCCCTCCCCCCATAACTTCCCTCCAATCCGCAACCCTCCCGTCTCCCACTCCCTCTCCCATTCCATTCACATCAAGATTCATTTTCAATTATCTTTATATACAGAAGATCAATTTAGCGTATATTAAGTAAAGATTTCAACAGTTTGCTCCCACACAGAACATAAAATGTAAAATACTGTTTCAGTACTCGTTATAGCATTACTTCACACTGGACAACACATTAAGGACAGAGATCCCACATAAAGAGTAAGTACACAGTGACTCCTGTTGTTGACTTAACAATTTGACACTCTTGTTTATGGCATCAGTAATCTCCCTAGGCTCTTGTCATGAGTTGCCAAGGCTATGGAGGCCTTTTGAGTTCGCCAACTCCGATCTTATTAGACAAGGTCATAGTCAAAGTGGAAGTTCTCTCCTCCCTTCAGAGAAAGGTACCTCCTTCTTTGATGACCCGTTCTTTCCACTGGGATTCTCACTCGCAGAGATCTTTCATATAGGGTGGTGGTTTGTTTGTTTGTTTGTTTGTTTTTTGCCAGAGTGTCTTGGCTTTCCATGCCTAAAATACTCTCATGGGCTCTTCAGTCAGATCCAAATGCCTTAAGGGCTGATTCTGAGGCCAGAGTGTTGTTTAGGACATCTGCCATTCTATGAGTCTGCTGTGTATCCTGCTTCCCATGTTGGATAGTTCTCTCCATTTTTTATTCTGTCAGTTAGTATTTGCAGACACTAGTCTTGTTTATGTGATCCCTTTGACTCTTAGTCCTATCATTATGATCAATTGTGAACAGAAATTGATCACTTGGACTAGTGAGATGACATTGGTACATTCCACCTTAACGGGATTGAATTGGAATCCCCTGGCACATTTCTAACTCTACCATTTGGGGCAAGTCCGATTGAGCATGTGCCAAATTGTACATCTCCTCCCTCTCTTATTCCCACTCTTACATTTAACAGGGATCACTTTTCAGTTAAATTTCAACACTTAAGAATAATTGTGTATTAATTACAGAGTTCAACCAATAGTATTAAGTAGAACAAAAAAAATACTAAAAGGGATAAAGTATTAAGTTGTTCATTAACAGTCAGGACAAGGGCTGATCAAGTCACTGTTTCTCATAGTGTCCATTTCACTTCAACAGGTTTCCTTTTTGGTGCTCGGTTAGCTGTCACCGATCAGGGAGAACATATGATATTTGTCCCTTTGGGACTGGCTTATTTAACTCAGCATAATGTTTTCCAGATTCTTCCATTTTGTTGCAAATGACCGGATTTCATTGTTTTTTACTGCTGTATTCTATAGAGTACAGACTTGGGATTTAAATCTAGATCATGTGACTGAAGTCCATGTTCTTCTGATTCATTACCAAATCTTTATAAATTTTCTAGCAACCAATTGCCCTTGCTTCAGCAAATGACTCTGTTAAGTGGCAGAAGCAAACATAATTAGTCTAATTTTACTAGCTCTCTAGTTTTTAAGTGTCTTAAATGTGACACACAGATGCCTTAAAAACCAGGAACTAGAATAAGCCAGCCATACTGTCTAACATGCAAAGATATCCCAGTTTCTTTCTTTTTCTTTTGGATAGTCAACTGAGCTCTTGGCTATCATGTTAATATCACTATCTTTGATCACAATTTCTGCCAACACTCTCTGACTACCATCCCTATTATTTGTTGATCACATATTGATGACACATACTCACTAAGTCACGTTTTTATAAGCTTACTGATGAGGTAGTCTTGTTTTTTCATTTCTCTCTCTGTCTCTCTCTGTCTCTGTCTCTCTCTGTCTCTGTCTCTCTCTCGCCAAGTTCTGTGTGTTTTCAGATTAACAGAAGTTAATGAAGTCTAAAATGCAGTAATTACCTACAGATGAGGTAAGACTTCTAAATCTTCCCTATTATATTCACAAAAGGTTAGATTTTTTTTTTCTTTCAAAGAGGAATGATGCTAATATTGGGATCATTCCTAAAAGGTAAATGGGAGACTATGTTTAGAAGAGGTTTACAAATAGTTGTCTTTCTTTAAATATAATTTTTAGAATAAGACATGGGCATTCTGCACAGGTGGGGAATGTTTTCTCTGTCAAGGACCACTTGATATTTATTACATCATTCACAGGCCATAAAAAATTATCAACTTAAAAATTAGCCTGTTATAGATTTATTCAATTTTGAATCCATTCTGCAGTTGCCTCGGCAGGCCAGATCTAATGATTTTGCAAGTCTTATATGGCCTGCAGGCTGGACATTACCCACCCTTGGTAGTGGGAAAGACGCTACTTGGGATGCCAGCACCTCATATCAAAGTGCCTGGGTTCAAGTCCCAGCTCTGCTCCCAACTCCAGCTCTCTGCTAATGTGTACCAGGAAAGGAAGCAGGTGATGACTCAAATGGTTACACTCCTGCCACCTATTTGGGAGACCTGTATTGAACTCCCAGCTCCTGGCTTTGACCCTGGCTATTATGGACATTCGTGGAATGATCCAGCAGATGGGAGATCTGTTTTTCTTTCTTCCTGCCTTTCAAAAACATTTTTTTAAATTATTACAATAAAATAGGCAGTGAGAAAATGTTTTCCCTTTCGTTTTTCAAAAAACATCATTATTAGAAACAAAGCCCCAACTGTGAAATAATATTACATTGAATTTTACTCCCAGTTTCAAAAAAATTTCCAGCTTTATGTATCAGATATCTTACATTTTCAAAAATAAAGGTACAGTATACAGCTGACAGAGTTTCTATGAAGATTATAATTAAATCAGAAATTGCATTTGATCCACATTAATGTGACTGTGGGCTCATAAAGAGCTCATCAAGGGTAACTTCTATTATTAGTAGTAAATTAAAAGTTTTTCTGTCAAAGAAATCAATCTCAGTCAAGATTATGGAGAGTAAGCGCAGAAGAAAACTTCGATCCAATCTCATGAGGGCCCAAAGTGTTTTACAGTTGATTTATCAGTGAGCCCACTTTGTAGCCTCTGTACTCACTTCAAGAAGTTATCTATGCATCCTGACACAAATTCTACTCTCTACATTCATGCCTGTCCTTGAGTTTCCCTAGCACATACTTAAATATTTCTTTTTTTCTCTTTCTCCCCATATGCTCTCC